GAGGACCACGGGACCAGAGGACCACGCAGGTGGGCCGGATGGCTTATTTTTTATTTATTGATCATTGATCCCTATTGTTTTTCTTTTTGATGCTTATTATTTTTGTTTTTGATGCCTATGCCTCCCCCCTCCCGACCCCGCCCCCTCCTCCCCCCTCCTCTTAAACCCTACCCCCGCAAGACAAATGCCCCAAACAGCAAGCAAAAGCCCGTCTAAGTGGAGTCTCTGGCTCTGGCAGCTTGGGATGGGTGCCCTGAACCCTAAACACTAAACCCTAAAACCTAAACCCTTTGGGTTCAGGGAGCGTGGGATAAAGGTTGCCAGATGTGGAAATTAAGCATTGAAGGGTAAGCGGCTTGGGGTCGAATTCGTTGAGGATTGCAATGAAGAGGCCCCAACACGCTTTCAGGATGTTCCGACGATTCGGGTCCCGCTTTTGCAGTAGAGACGCGGGGTTTTTGGACTTAGGGCGTTCGGCCTTCGCCCTAAAACCCGCATCGCTCGGGCTTAGGGTTCAGTTCAGGGGAAGCCCTGATTCAAGCCCTCCTAAACAACCCTGAAACGCAACAAAAACACTCAACCCCAAACCCCAAACCCCGAACCCCGAACCCCAAACCCAAACCCCAAACCCTAAACCCCAAACCCTAAACCCCAAACCCTAAACCCTACCCTAAACCCTAAACCTCACGCCAAACCTGCGAGAACGCCGAAAAGCGGCAGGGGCAGACGGCCCCGCCAGCCACCGCTGGAGCGTCTCTTGGAACTCGTCGACCTTGGGAGGTTTAGGGTTTAGGGTTTAGGGTTTAGGGTTTAGGGTTTAGGGTTTAGGGTTTAGGGTTTAGGGTTTAGGGTTTAGGGTTTAGGGTTTAGGGGTTAGGGGTTAGGGGTTAGGGGTTAGGGTTTGAGCAGGGGTTAGCGTTTAAAGAGTGTTTAGGGACTTTCCTGAGACCCAAGAAAGATCTAGGCCTTCGGGCCTTTCGTGCGGTGAGGGCTTCAAAACGGGTTGTGGGCTTTGGGCTTCGGGCACGTTTGACGGTTTATGTCCTGGGGTATGGAACCCAGCTCTCTTCGGCCGCCCTTTGTTGCTTGGTAGCCCGGTAACCATGTGAAACGTAAACTACGCAGAAGTCACACAAAAATTGCAAGCTCACGCGTGGGCACTCTTGCAAACACACGGCAGGTGGCGCTCAGTCTCTTCGCACTTTAGCGAAGCGAAGGACTGTCACCCCACTGTCTCTTTCCCTTCTAGGGCGGCGAGGGCGGGTGTTTCGAAAAGGTCTAGCTACCACGGAACCTCGAAGCCGCATGCTTCGGCATCCGTTCGCATTGTGTCGCTACGTGCACACGCGCACTTCACTACAATCAGGGCACCTTTTTTTGGGTTGGCTACTACTTGGTAAGGAACCTTGAACCAAGCAAAGCTGAAAAGGGTACCCCACTGGGCTGCCAAGGTTGAGGGTTCTTCCCATCCCAAGCCCTAAAGCCTGGACCCCAGAACTTTAGACTTTAGAACTTTAGACTTTGCAACCGTCAAACCTGAACCCTAAACCCTAAACCCTAAACCCTAAACCGGTTCAGGGTTTACCCTGAGCTGCAAAACTCCCTTTGCCGCCTGCAGGAGCACCGAGTTGAAAGAGATTGAGGATTGCGACAGCAGCCTCGGCAGCTTTCTTTGATGTGTAGGGGGTGCTAAGGGGGGGGGGGTGTTATTGGGGGGGGGGGGGGGGGTCGATGGGTTTGAAGCGGCTTCAGGGTTTCAGGGGGTGTCATGTTGAAAGAGCTCCCAAGCCCAACCATACAACCTTATACCTTGACAACCCCTAAACCCTAAACCCTAAACCCTAAATCCTAAACCCTCAATCCCATGAGCACCTCCCAACCAGCCTGCAGTCAAGCCCTTGCCTTTGGAAGCTCGATCGCCCAAGAAGAGTAGTTCCGAAGCCTGCCGAACCCCAACCCTCAGCCCTCAACCCACATCTCCCCGCCGTAAACCCTGAACCCTGAACCCTAAACTTTCTCTAAACCCTCAACCCTGGACCGACCCTAAACCCTAAACCCTAAACCCTAAACCCTAAACCCTAAACCCTAAACCCTAAACCCTAAACCCTAAACCCTAAACCCTAAACCCGATCCTTCGGGCAAAACCTGCCCAAGGCGCTGCGAAAGGCGGTCATCCGAGAGCTTGGGGCTCGAGAGGCTGAGCCGATAGACTGGCAGACCAAGCTGTCCTGGATTTAGGAGAAGATTTGGGATTACCCTAAACCCTAAACCCTAAACCCTAAACCCTAACTCCTAGACCGTGAAAGGTTTGCAGTTTGGGGTTTAGGGTAGGGTTTGGAGGCCTTGCTTGGACTAGGTGGTTTGGGGTGGCTTGGGGCACGGGGCCGGGGGGATGTCGAAGGATCCGCCCCCGGCAACAAAAGGGTTTAGGGTTTAGGGTTTACGGTTTAGGGTTTAGGGTTTAGGGTTTAGGGTTCGTAAACCCTAAATCGTAAACCCTAAGCCCTAAGCCCTAAGCCCGAAACCCTAAACCTTGGACCCCAAGCCCTAAACCCCAAACCTCTAAGTCTCCCTGAAGCCCCCCAAGCGGTCCGGCGATCCAGACCGTGAATTCTGACTTGCCAACGCCAGGGGGACCAGTGATCATGTAAACCTTGCTTACGGTCTCTTGGGGCTTAGGGTTCAGGGTCTGGGGTTTAGGGTTGAGGGTTTCGGGTTGAGCGTTTGGGGTTTAGGGTGCTGGCTCTAGGGTTCTAGGGTTTTTAGGGTTTGGGGTTTGGGGTTTGGGGTTTGGGGTTTGGGGTTTGGGGTTTGGGGTTTGGGGGTCTAGCGTTTAGGGCTTGGGGCTTAGAATTCGGGAAGCCTGAGACTTAAACCCTTCGAGGGGGTCTAAGTGATGCCAGGTCTTAGCTGGGTCTGGGCCCTAAACCCTAAACCCTAAACCCTAAGCCCGAAGTCGTGAACCCTAAACCCTCGTCTGGAGCCCAGAGCGCATGTGAGAGGATCGAAGCCTAAACCTCAACCCTGAACCTGAACAATTGATTAACTCCAGTGGAGAGAGCATAGGGTTAGGATTCAGGGTTCACGGTTCAGGGTTCAGGGTTCAGGGTTTAGGGTTTTGGGTTTAGGGTTTAGGGTTTAGGGTTCAGGGTTTAGGGTTTAGGGTTTAGGGTTTAGGGTTTAGGGTTCAGGGTTTAGGGTTTAGGGTTTAGGGGCCAGAAAGTTGACAACCGTGTTCACCTAGATACCTAGCTCATATGGCCATCTATCTCTCACAGCAAGTTGCGCAAGCGGGAGAGTTGAATGCGTCGCGTGACCGTCTCCGGAGCAGCACCCGTGACATCATGTTAGGGTTTAAGGTTTAAGGTTTAAGGTTTAGGGTTTAAGGTTTAAGGTTTAAGGTTTAGGGTTTAAGGTTTAAGGTTTAAGGTTTAGGGTTTGGAGAACCCCCCTTCCCCCTCGAATTCACGCACTTCTCCCTTCGAGGTGAAATTGCTTCTGGAGGGCCCGGAGCGTGGACTTCGACCAGAGCTTGGCATCAGCAAGGATCTCATCCAAGCCTTGGCTTATAGGGTTCAGGGTTGAGGGTTTAGGGTTTAGGGTTTGGGTTTTAGGGTTTAGGGTTTAGGGTTTAGGGTTCAGGGTTTAGGGTTTAGGGTTTAGGGTTTAGGGTTTAGGGTTTAGGGTTTAGGGTTTAGGGTTTAGGCTTTGGGGTTCAGGGTTTTGGGTTTTGGGTTTTGGGTTTTGGGTTGAGAAGAAAGGGGTGACCGGGTGCCCTCTTGTACTTAAGCCTAAACCCTAAAACCCTAAAACCCTCAACCCGAAATCCTTCACCCTAAACCACAAACCCCAAAAAGTGAAATTACATTGGTATGGCTGGGCTACCTGTGGGAAAGGCAAAAGCTTATCTCGAACCCCTGTTTAGGTCTCTTCAGGAACATGATAAAATTTAGGCTTTGGGGGTTTTAGGGTTTAGGGCGCCTTTAGGATGTGTGCTTTAGGTTTAGGGTTTAGGGTTTAGGGTTTAGGGTTTAGGGTTTAGGGTTTAGGGTTTAGGGTTTAGGGTTTAGGGTTTAGGGTTTAGGGTTTAGGGCTTAGGGCTTAGAGCTTAGGGCTTAGGGCTTAGGGCTTAAGGCTTAGGGTTTAGGGTTTAGGGTTTAGGGTTTAGGGTTTAGAGCTCAGGGGCAGGGTCCTTGGCGTTTAGGGCACGTGATTTAGGCTTTCAGAAAGCGTTGCGCTGGCCAGCGTACAGCAAAACTGTGCTGTTGTGTATTCTTCGTGGTGTCACGGATTCTCTAGGTTTTCAGGAATCTGGCGTGGGCGGGGTGGTAGGTCAGACATGGAGCCCCCCACCCCCGAAAACGAAATGGTGAAAATCACTGCCGCCCACTTTCTAGGCCCCCCGCCCAAAACCCTAAAACCTTAAATCCTGAACCCTAAACCCTAAACCCTAAACCAGCATAGCCCTTAAACTCCATGAGCTCAGGAGCTCTCTCGCTCGAGGTAGAAGCGCTGCCCTTTGTCAGCCGTCCTCTTACCTCGGGTGGCAAGGTGCAGAGCGGCTGTACCCCAAACCCCCTCAACCCTAAACCCTAAACCCTAGACCCTAGGCCCTAGACCCTAGACCCTAACCCCGAAACCCTAAACTAGGGATGTTGGCCTAAGGTTCTGGACCTTGGGTTCAGGGGCTTAGGGTGACGAACCACCCCCCTAGGTTTCCCTCATATTTCAAGGTGATATACGGATAATGCCTAATTAAGGGGAATAAAAAAGGGGGAACCTAGGGGGGAGTAATACAGGGAGGGGGGGGGGGGCGGCGCCGGTAGGGAAGCTCATGAATCCCCTACAAACCCCTTTCAGGCGTTTATGAAGGGACCCCTAAACCCCTACCCCAACCCCAAACCCCCCTTCAAGGGGCTTCAGAGGATTATAGGGTACTTACTTATTAGTTCCCTAAGTCTCCAACAAAAACCAGAGGCTTAGGGTGCGGGGTTTAGGGTTCAATGCACCATTCTTTCAGGATCTTGATGCATGGGGTCTGTTACGCAGACTTGGACGTGTATCCCGTATTTCAGGGGCACCCGGCTCTGTCCATAGCCCGGCGGCAACCTACAGGGTCTACAGCGCAAGCAACGCCAGCAGATCTACCTGGGACCCTCTTTACCTACAGTTTTATGGGTTGTAGCTACTAGCTAAGGGAAGTTACTACTGAACTGTAGGTAAATCGAGTCTCTGGTTAAAGGGTTCCAGGGTTGAAGGGCTTAGGGTTGAAGGGGTTGGGGTTTTGGGGTTTAACAAAAAAGGGTTGTATATGCAACGTGACAAAGCTTGAGGTCAAAGAGGTTCATAACTTCGAGTACTGAGACTCCTCGTAGAATGCGCAGCACCCGTGTGTTCAGCGCTTGGGGTGTAGGGCCATGCATAGGGGGCTTGACAATCTTTCCAGGCACGAGTTCAAGGCTGCATCCGAGGCGCATGTCTTCACCCGCTCAAACTTCCATTCCTCAATGCAGGAAAACCCTAAACCCTAAACCCTAAACCCTAAACCCTAAACCCTAAACCCTAAACATTAAACATCCCTGAGGCCTAGACCCTAAACATCCCAAAAGCCCAAACCTGAAATCCAAACCCTTCGAGCCAAAGGCCCCCTGGTTCTTAGTAGGGAATGAGGGAATGAGGGCCCTATATATACCCTTTAACCCCCGAAAAACCCTAGACCTTAAACCCTCCCCAAAACCTGAAAAGCATGGAGAGATGCAGGTGCAGGGCAGGGGTTTAGGGCTGAGGGGCTGAGAGGGCTTGAGCCTTCGAGGCTTTAGGGCCTTAGGGACTTCGCACCACAGGGGTTTAGGGTTTAGGGTTTGGCCGGGGCTTGCAGGGCTCAAGATTAGAGTTTCGGGCAACGGGCCAAAGCTTGTTCCCAAATAGGAAGGCCCCAAAAATAATGCAATCCTTACTGAGGATTGAGGGCTTTGGGGCATCTCTGATCAAAATTAGCCCTACAAACCCTAAACCCTAAAAACAAAACCCTAAACCCTAAACCCCGAAGCCCTAAGCCCCTGAACTCTAAACCCTAAATCCTAAGCTTTCACCCTGAATCCCTGTGCCTCGTTGGGCAGTGGCCACGTGGATGGTCCGGACAGCCGGAATGCTAACCCCTAAACCCCTAAACCCCTAAACCCCTAAACCCCTAAACCCCTAAACCCCTAAACCCCTAAACCCCTAAACCCCTAAACCCCTAAACCCCTAAACCCCTACACCCTAGGAGCCCTACACCCCAAACCCCTAAACCGTGGACTCCCAAGCCCCTGAACCCAAACCCTAAACCCTAAACCCCTAGACTCGCCTAAACCCTAAACCCCTTTCATGCAGCTTGCAGTGGCTGGCACCCAATCCGCACTGCTCTCCTGCAGAGAGTACACGTTCACCACGTCCTTGCAACACTTAGGATTCTAGGGTTTAGGGTTAGGGTTTTGGGTTTTAGGGATTAGGGTTTAGGGTTGGGCTTTTGGGTTTCGAGTTTTGGGTTTTGGGTTTTAGGGTTTGGGGTTTAGGGGTTTCGGCCAACCGACGAAAGCGCTGGAAGCGGCCGCGCCTCAGCCATATGGCGTCTTCTTGTCGAAGGACCCTCTCGTGTTGGAAACTCTAAACCCTAAACCCTAAACCCTAAACCCTAAACCCTAAACCTTCTCGTGTTAGAAGGGTTTCAAGGCCACAAACTGGTTGTGCTCAGGTGCACCGTCTCCCCAGGTCCAAGATGGACTGAGCCATGCCATCTCGTGCTCATTGTTCAGCGGCCCGATAGGATGGAGGGTTGAGGGTTTGGGGTTTAGGATTTAGGGTTCAGAGGTTAGGGCTTAGGGTTTAGGGTTTAGGGTTTAGGGCTTCGGGTTCGGGGGTTGAAGGTTACTGGTTGTTATATTCGGGTGCAGGCTGTCAAAACTGCTGGGCCTCTCTTTGGTACCCTTGAACGCCACATGTTAGATCACCCACGGGGTCTTCGGCTCGGGGCAGCTTGTGTCTTTTGGCGCCTTTTGGGGCTTAGGATGGGGCTACGTTCAGGTCCCTAAACCCTAAACCCTACATGCTTTGCTCACTACCTAAACCTCTAAACCCTAGACCCAGACCCCTTGGGCCTTTTGGAAAGGGTTCCCTTACCCGAGTCCGACTATGTCCCTACGTATACGGTTTAGGGTTTAGGGTGAAGGGTTTAGTGTTTTGGGTTAGGGCTTAGGGTTTAGGCAAGCACCCTTTTGAGGAGTTTTTCAGGCCGGGGAAGCGCCGCGGGGCCTCGTGCTTAAAAGAGCCTCAACCCTAAACCCTAAACCCTAAACCCTAAACCCTAAGCCTTCAGAAATCGGCTTGGCTTGGGTCTTGGGGTTTAATGGGCTTGACGTGTTTGGGACTTAGGACATCGCATTTCGGGCTCTCCCCTTGACCTGGATGGGAATTTCGGGTTCTCCCCTTGACCTGGATGGGCTTCACGAACTGCACGTACGCGTGCTCGAGCCAGCGAACCTTCAAAGGCAGAAGCTTTATGAAGTCCTTGGGGTTTAGGGTTTGGGGTTTAGGGTTTAGGGGTTTAAGGGTTTAGGGTTTAAGGGTTTAGGGGTTTAGGGGTGTAGGGGTCCAGGGGTTTAGGGTTTGCGGGAGAGAGGGGGGGGGGTGCAGGGGTGATACGGCCGTTTTGAAATTATCTTTTATCATGGTCCGTTCCAGGGCACCAGGGGATTACATTTCCCAAAATAGGGGTACTCCCTTTAAAACCCCAAATAGAATAGAATCCCCTTAAAGAGACCGCCCAAACAGGGTACCCCTGTTTTCGGAAACCCAAATAGTCACCTTACCCCGAAATTCCTGGAAACCCGACACCCTAAACCCTAAACCGTAAAACCAAACCCTAAACCCTAAACCCTAAACCCTAAGCCCTAAAACCTAAACCCTAAACCCTAAACGCAAAACCCAAAACCCTAAACCCTAAGCCCAAAACCCAAAACCCTAAACCCTAGCAGGCTACGTTGCTTTCGGCAGGCGGCCAGAAGCCGCTTGTCGGCCAGTGCCCGCTTCTCATTGGAGTACCTCAGGGATTCAGGGTTTAGGGTTTAGGGTTTAGGGTTTAGGGTTTCGGGTTTCGGGTTTCGGGTTTCGGGCTTCGGGCTTAGGGTTTAGGGCTTAGGGCTTGGGGTTTAGGGTTTAGGGTTTAGCGACCAGGGTTCAAGCCCATTAGTGCTTGGGGTTCCCTTAAGCTGTTCTAGGATTTGGGTGTTGGGGCTGACCCTAAACCCTAAACCCGAAACCCTAAACCCTAAACCCCACACCCTAAACCCTAAACCCTAAACTCTGAGCCTTGTTCATTACTTTCAGGGTTTAGGGATTTCAAAGGCTGAGGATTTCGGGTTGCGAGTGAGATACTGAGAGGCACCAGACCCCGAAAGAGCCAAGCGGCACGTTTAGGATCAAGATCTCCCGCCTCGAGATGCTGAGGCTTAGGGTTTAGGGTTAGGGTTGAGGGTCGAGGGTCGAGGGTTGAGGGTGTAGGGTTAACCCAAGCCCTGAGGCCTACACCGGCAAAACCAAAATCACACACACACACACAAAGCTTGTTTTTCTTCTGCGTGTTCTCATGGGATCCTGTACGCCCCGAGCCTTCACCACCCCCAGCCTGAAAGAAGGTGTCAGGATGTAGAGTTACGATCTAAACCCCTAACCCCTCAACCCCTGAACCTCTAAACCCCATAACCCCTAACTCCATAAACCCCATAAACCGCATAAACCCCTAAGCCCCTAAGCCCCTACACCACTAAACCCCTAAACCCCTACACCCCTACGCCCCTAAACCCCTAAACCCCTAAACCCCTAAACCCCTAAACCCCTAAACCCCTAAACCCCTAAACCCCTAAACCCCTGAACCCCTGAACCCCTGAAACCCCTAAACCCTAAACCCTAAACCCCTAAACCCTAATACAGTCGCGTCGGGTTCTTTTTTAAAGGCCACGGGAGGCCTCTCCAGGCGCGCGTCCCGGCCGCAGACGATGTCGTCGCCAGGGAGGAACTCGACCTGACTTTAGGGTTCTTAGGATGTAAAGCGTTGAGGGTTTAGGGGTTTAAGGGTTAAGGTTGAGGGATTTAGGGATTTAGGGTTTAGGAAACCCTAAACCCTAAACCCTAAACCCTAAACTTTAGCCCTAAACCCTAAACCCTAACCCCCGCGCCTTCATGTCGAGACTCTCCGGTGGCTCCGGGTCAGGGGACTCCAGGTCCGAGGGTATCCTGGCGGGATTAGGGTTTAGGGTTTAGGGTTTGGGGTTTGGGGTTTAGGGTTTAGGGTTTAGGGTTTAGGGTTTAGGGCTTAGGGCTTAGGGTTTAGGGTTTAGGGTTTAGGGCTAACCCAACACATTCGGCCTTCCACCCTTAAACTCTTCAACCCTTAAACCCTGAAACCTTCAAACCTTCAAACCCTCAACCCTTCAAACCCTTAAACCCTTAAACCCTTAAACCCTTAAACCCTTAAACCCTTAAACCCTTAAACCCACAGTTTAAGCTGCAGGCTTGAGCTTCTCCCAATGAGAACTGTGCCCTAGAATCCCCCTTCGAACACGTGAACTCAGAGGTCTCCCGGGTGAACATCACACAGTATGTCATCAATCGGGTAGATATTCCCTACAACCATCAAATCTCAGAAGCTTAAACCCTAAACCCTGAACTCTAAACCCTAAACGCTAAACCCTAAACCCTAAACCCTAAACCCTAAACCCTAAACCCTAACCCTAACCCTTAACCGTAAACCCTAACCATTAAGCCCTGAAACCTGACAGCGCTGAAAGGACGCCCGGCTGCCCCAGCCTCACAGAAATCCGCATCGTCCGCGCCTGCGAACTCCAGAAGCGAAGCTTGACCTGCAGTTCGGGTTTAGGGTTTAGGGTTTAGGGTTTAGGGTTTAGGTTTAAGGTTTTAGGTTTTAGGGTTTAGGGTTTAGGGTTTAGGGTTTAGGGTTTAGGGCTTACGGTTTAGGGTTTTTGACACACAGGGATTAGGGTTTAGGATTTAGGGCTTCAGGGTCTCGGGGTGTTAGTTGCGGGTTTAGGCTTTGGGGCGTTGAGAGATGTGGGATTTCTTACAGGGCCTGCAGGGCTTTCCGGGGCTCTAAGGAATCTCGTGGCTTTAAGGCTTCTGGGGTGGTAGGGGCTTCTTGTAACCCTTCTGCTTCTCTGTCATTCTGAACTAGTGAAGAATCTTGTACTGTTTCTAGCAGGCATTTAAAAGGGGACCACCACTTCGAACCTCACCCCATGTGAAGATGGAGCACTTCTGGAGGTGCTTCCTAGAATGGGAGGAGCGCGAATGATCATTCCACACCCCAAACCCGAAACCCTAGACCCTGAACCCTAAACCCTAAACCCTAAACCCTCAACCCTGAACCCTAAACCCTAAACCCTAAACCCTAAACCCTAAACCCTAAACCCAGGAAGCCCTGCTTCGACGCGTGGTATTCTTCACGTCCCAGGTGTCCTGCCTGGATCTTGCCCGTCAGCTTGTCGTGCCTGGGGCTGGGGGAGGGTTTAGGGTAAACCCTAAACCCTAAACCCTAAATCCTAAACCCCAAACCCTAAACCCTAAATCCCTAAACCCTAAACCCTAAACCTTGGGGGTGGGGTGGGGGGGGCGCTTCGGGCTTTAGGCTAGGATTGGGGGTTTTTTGGATCGTGGGTTCCGCGACCCAAGCTGCTGAACCCCAAGCGCGGCTCTCATCGAGTCCGCCTTATAAGGCATCCTACCATGAAGCATCCTACCGGGTTTAGGGTTTAGGGTTTAGGGTTTAGGGTTTAGGGTTTAGGGTTTAGGGTTTAGGGTTTAGGGTTTAGGGTTTAGGGTTTAGGGTTTAGGGTTTAGGGTTTAGGGTTTAGGGTTTAGGGTTTAGGGCCTCCTTAAACCCAACAATAGCCGATTCCTAAAGCCCGAAGAACCCTGAACCCCACCCGAAAGCCCTGAAGTGTCAAGGCCTCGGACACTAGAGCCTCAACCCCTAAAACCCCTAAACCCTCAAACCCTTAACCCTAAACTCCTAAAACCTAAACTCCTAAAACCCTAAAACCCTAAAACCCATAAAAGCTGGTTCCAAGAGACTCCTGCAGCGCTTCCTGATCCCAGCTGCAAGTGAGGCCCTGACGCTCCTGGGAGGCTTTGGGGAAAATTATGTCAGGATGCGCGGGGCCCAAACACAACTGTCTACCCGAAACCCTAAACCCTAAACCCTAAACCTGAAACCCGAAACCCTAAAACCTAAAACCCTACAACCCTAAAGCCCTAAAGCCCTAAAGCCCTAAAGCCCTAAAGCCCTCAAACCCAAAGCCTAAGCCCATCTTTGGGCGCCTCCCTTGCGTCCAAGCTGCGGCTTCTTTGGCCAAGAAGTCAGTGACGGCCTCTGGTCCAGGTATGGGTTTAGGGTTTAGGGTTTAGGGTTTAGGGTTTAGGGTTTAGGGTTTAGGGTTTAGGGTTTAGGGTTTAGGGTTTAGGGTTTAGGGTTTAGGGTTTAGGGTTTAGGGTTTAGGGTTTAGGGTTTAGGGTTTAGGGTTTAGGGTTAGGGTTTAGGGTGTAGGGTTTAGGGTTTAGGGTTTAGGGTTTAGGGTTTAGGGTTTAGGGTTTAGGGTATAGGGTATAGGGTTTAGAATTTAGGGTTTAGGGTTTAGGGTTTAGAGTTTAGGGTTCTAGGGTTTTAGGGTTCTAGGGTTTTAGGGTTTAGGGTTTAGGGATTAGGGTTTAGGATTTAGGGTTAAGGTCTTAGGCCTTGGGGCAAACGGGTTTAGTGTTGATAAGGTGGCGGGGCTTCAGCTTGAGGTTTCGGGTTCGAAGGTTTAGGGTTTAGGGTTCAGGGTTCAGGGTTTAGGGTTTCGGGTGTAGGGTTTAGGGTTTAGGGTTTAGGGCTTAGGGCTTAGGGCTTAGGGCTTAGGGCTTAGGGCTTAGGGCTTAGGGGTTAGTAATAGGATTTAGGGTTTTGCCCCTTGAACTCAGTTTAGGGTGCAGGGTTTAGGGTTTAGGGCCAGCACCCCTAAACCACAACCCCGCCCTGGGCCCCTCATTCACCCCGCAGGAAACAGTAAGGTGTTCTAAACCTTCCAAGAAGAACCCCCTCAAAAGCTCTTGCGGGTCGAAACTACATTTTGGGCCTTTTGCAATTTTGTTGGGCACTGAACGCCTACGTGACAAGGAATAGACAAGAATAGAGATCGAGACACCCCGAAAAGGGCCCCTCAACTGCAAACCCCAAACCCCAAACCCTAAACCCCAAACCCCAAACCCTAAACCCCAAACCCCAAACCCTAAACCCTAAACCCCAACCATAATCCTAAACCCAAACCCGAAACCCTAAACCCCAAACCCTAAAGCCCAAACCCTAAACCCTAAACCCCAAACCCTAAACCCTAAACCCCAAACCCTAAACCCTAAACCCTAAGCCCCAAACCCCAAACCCCCGGTGCCTCGAAGAGCGTGGCGGAGGCGAAGCGGCGGATCTCCTGGCGCTCGAGGGCTTCTAGGGCTTCTAGGGCTTCTAGGGCTTCTAGGGCTTCTAGGGCTTCTAGGGCTTCTAGGGCTTCTAGGGCTTCTAGGGCTTCTAGGGCTTCTAGGGCTTCAGGGCTTAGGGTTTAGGGTTCAGGGTTTAGGGTCTCAGGGCTTCTTTGCGTCTGGATCACGCCAAGACCCACAAGTCCTAAACCTTAAACTCCTAGACCCCTAAACCCCCAACATCCTACACCCCATTAAATCCCTGAAATCCCTGAAGCCCGGAAGCCCCTAAAATCCCTAACGCCCCTAAGCCCCCCAAAATCCCTGAAAACCCCAAACACCCTAAACACCCACGTCGTTCTTTGGGACATTCGGGGAGCCCTCCCTAAAACCCTAAACCCTAAACCCTAAACCCTAAACCCTAAACCCTAAACCCTAAACCCTAAACCCTAAACCCTAACCCCCTGGCAGCCCCGGAGTCTCCACGCGGATGGACATGACGCTCCGGAACAGCGGAACCATCGTGGACCAGAGGCGCTGCATAGCCTGGGCCGAGGCTTCTGAAGGGTTTAGGGTTTAGGGTTTAGGGTTTAGGGTTTAGGGTTTAGGGTTTAGGGTTTAGGGTTTAGGGTTTAGGGTTTAGGGTTTAGAATTTAGGGTTTAGGGTTTAGGGTTTAGGGTTTAGGGTTTAGAATTTAGGGTTTAGGGTTTAGGGTTTAGGGTTTAGAGTTTAGGGTTTAGAGTTTAAGGTTTAGGGTTTAGGGTTTAAGGTTTAGGGTTTAGGGTTTTAGGACTTTAGGGTTTTAGGGCTTTGGGCTTGGGGGCTTGAGGAGTGTTCCGGGGTTGCGGGGGGCTTGTTTAGGCCTTTTAAGTGGTTTTGCTAGTCCAGGACGCTTTTTCGATTGTGTGTTTAGGGTTTTTAGGGTTTAGGGCTTAAGGCTTTTCGGGTGTCGGGCTTAGGGCTTCGAAGGTTTAAGGGGCTTAGGGCTCCGGGGTTGCGGGTTTGGGGTTCAGGGGTAATTACTGGGTTCAGGACTTACTCCGGTCTCGACATTCGAGCTTGGAGCTTCTGCAAGCTAGGCATCTATTGCCCTCAACCGTAAACCCTAAACCCTAAACCCTAAACCCTGAACCCTAAACCCGAAACCCTAAACCTAAGCCCGGAGCCCACAAACCCCCCCAAACCTTAAACCCCCTAAACCCACTAAAACCATCTGAAGCCCCTAAACCCCCTCAAACCCCCTAAACTCCCTAAAACCCCCCTAAACCCCCAAACCCCTGAAGCCCCTTAAAACCCTACACCCCTGAAGCCCCCCGAAACGCCCTGAGCCTCCGAAAAACCCCCTGAACTCCGGCGCCGAGGCTTCGCCGGGTATCCTCACACCCACCCGGGGAGCCCAATACCAAGTCATGAAACCTTAAACCTGAAACCCCTCTAAAAAGTCTAGTAACCCCTTGAATGTCGAAACCTCTTGGAAACCCGCTAGAAACTCTTAAAAGGAATCGAAACCCTAGAGACCCTACAAGCCCTAAAACCATGAACCCTAAGCCCTTATAGGCCTATCAACCCTAGGCTCTAAGCCCTAAGCCCTAAGCCCTAAACCCTGAAACCTAAACCCTAAACCCTAAACCCCAAACCCTAAACCCTAAACCCTACGCATGGCGTTCCCACTTGCACCCCGGCCACGCTGACAATGTAGAAGCCGAAGCCCAGCAGAAGCCAGCCACGCTGGTCAGGGCGCGAAGCCCACCTGGGCTTAGGGTTAAGGGTTGAGGGTTTAGGGTTTAGGGTTTAGGGTTTGGGGTTTGGGGTTTGGGGTTTTGGGGTTTTGGGGTTTGGGGTTTAAGGCATGATCATCTGGCGGTCGTACCCTTCAGATGCCCTTGAAGTCACTGTAATCCAAGAGGTGCTGCTCCGTGAACCCTAAACCCTAGAACCAAGAACTAAGAACCCTAATCCCTAAATCCGAAACCCTAAATCCTAAACCCTAAGCCCTAAACCCTAAATCCTAAAACCCGAAACCCTAAACCCAAATTTAACCCCCATGAAGTGGTCGGGGTCGACCTTTCGAGACGAGGAGCTCCATGATCACGAAGATGGACAGAAAGACCTGGGCCAAAACCCTACTTGTAGTATCAGGTATTAGGGGTTTATCTAGGGTTTTGGGTTTAGGGTCTTGGGTTTAGGGTTTAGGGTAGCTATTCTTTTAGGTGGTGACGTTTTCTGGGGTACTCACAACAATACAAATAATTACGCATGAACTTCTACCAAAAACCCCCTCTATCAAGACCCCCCGGACTGGGCACCCTACGATTTGATGGATGACCCCTATCAATACGGCCCCAAACCCGGCAGTTCTAAACCCTAAGACCCAAAACCCTAAAACCTAAACCCTAAACCCTAAAAAGCAGCAGCCAGGCAGCCGTGGAGAAAAACAGCAGCGCGGCGATCAGCGCCGCGGTCAAGAAATCTCGCAGGCGCTGGGGGATGACCGTGACCTGGGCTTGGTTGTGTAGGGTTTAGGGTGTTTAGGGTTTAGGTTTTCAAGTTTTCGGAAAGTAGGGGCGACACCCTATATCCGAAAACAGGAAGCCCGGTTTGGGGTTCCTACACTGAGGACTTTCGTATAAGGCACATGACCCTACTCCACAAACCCCAAATACCCACGAAACCCGAAACCCTAAACCCGAAACCCAGTTAGGGTTAGGACTTACAGGGGTTGCTAGGGCTGAGGAAGGGCTTGTGGGGTCTGAGGGCTGCCTTTGGCACCGAGACCCTGAAGCCCATCCTTGGGTTTAGGGTTTAGGGTTGAGGGTTGAGGGTTTAGGGTTTAGGGTGCAGGGGTTACTGTTTAGGGTTCCTGGAGGCTTTCTTCCGGACATTTCCCGGAAGGTTTCGGGTTTAGGGTTTGACTATTCTGAGGTTGCCTGTGGAGACTCTGGAAGCTCCCGCAGGGTTCCAGGGGAACTCGTCACAGTATCGAGGGGTTTTGGGTAATAAACTAGGGTACCGATGTTGGAGGTTCCTATATGAAGGATCTATCGTGCTTTGGTAGCATGTAAGGTTCACCCTTGCTTTCCGAAGTTGGGCGACCCAGCAGGGGTTTAGGATTTAGGGTTTAGGGCTTCGGGCATAGGGCTTAAGGATGTTCTCATGGGTGCAGGTGAGCTGCGTGTGGTGAAAGCGCCAGCTGCCCGGGTAATCGCACCTTAGCGGTGCGAAGGTGAAGGGGTGTTAGAAGGCTGATCGAAGGCCTTAGACGACTGAACACCCTCAAACCGTCTAATATTGGGGCCAGTCTTGCATTAACAGGATCGACATTTCGCGTAGAGCTGAAAAAAATTATACAGAATAGAACTGAAACATGGCATTATCTGCGGATTATAAGGGATACTATGCAGGCTCCTGTACCCTTAAAGCCCCTAGTGGACCCAAGCGCGGCTCTCACACCCCTGAAACAGGGGTTTGGGGTTTCGGGCCTAGCGTTTCGGGTTTAGAGTTTGGGGGGGTTGAGGGTTTAGCGTTGCTTGTGGAGCCCTTTGGCCTTTCAGGCACTAAATCGACGGAATACTTCTCTCTTAGTGTAGTTATATGGCCCCGTAGTATGGGCCCTTAAACGGGAAACCTCAAGAGCACATACTTCAGAATCCTTTCAAAAAGGCCCAGGAACCATGTAGCTACCTCTAGATTCTCAATCAGAGTATCCATGACACTAAGCCCATCCTCCCGAAAAAGCAGACCCTAAACCCTAAACCCTGGTACAGCGGCCGTTGTTATAAGGTGATTGCTGGAGTCTTTCGTAGTTCAGGGGCTTGACTCGAGGATTCTGGCGCGCAAATACTGATTACCCCTGAGTTAATAGCTTCGACCCCATACACATGCAAGTGAAGCTCTACCAGGTCAGGCTAAAAGGCGGCAACAAACCCTAAACCCGAAGCCGAAACCGATCGCCCACACAGGGGCCGGAGTGTCTGCGGCCGTCATCTCCACATCGGCCTCTGCGGACGCGGCGCCTGCGCTGCTTGAGGCGTTTGGGTTCAGGGCTGAGGGTTTGGAGCTTTGGGCTTAGGGCTTTTCAGAGTGTAGGGCGTAGAGCTTTGGGGGTCCTCCCTAAACCCTAAACCTCAAACCATAGTGTCCGTAAGAAGGGCTTGGAAGGGGATGAAGTGGGTAACCTTGACCTGCACTCTAAAACCCTAAAGCCTAGACCTTAAACCCTGAACCCTAAACCTTAGACCCTAAACCCTGCACCCTAAACCCTAAACCCTAAACCCTAAAACCTAAACCCTAAACCAAAGCCGCCGCGCCGGGAAGCAGGCGCTCACGGAGGGCCCCCAGAGAGAGATGGCGCCGGATCCAACGCAAAAGCTCCAGCACCATGGCTCCAGGGGCTTAGGGTTTATGGTTTTGGGTTTAGGGCCTAGGGGCTTAGGGTTTCGGGTTTAGGGTTCAGGTGTACTATCGCAGTCCATGCGGGTGCAGTTTCAGGGGTTTAGGGTTCAAGGTTTGAGGGGTTTAGGGCTAAGGGTGGAAGATAAAATATGGTCTAGGGTTTAGGTTTATCTAGGGCTTGGGGTATTTGAGCTTTCGTCTTTGCCAAGGCCGTTTGGGGGGTTGGGGCGCTGGCCAGGGTTTCAAAGGCTGTTTAAGGGTTCAGGGTTCAGGGTTTAGGGTTTAAGGCTTGCGGCTTGCGGCTTTAGGGTTTCAGGGTTTTATATGGGCGTTTAGACCTTTTTGGCTCGTTTAGGCGGCCTAGGGCTGCTCCTACTCTGGTACTTGGGTATGAGGGTTTTGGGTTTTAGGGTTCAGGTTTAGGGTTTTAGGGTTTTAGGGGATTAGGGGATTAGGGTTTAGGGTTGAAGGCTTTTGGGCATTAGTGTTTGGCTGTTCCGGCTTAGGGTATTTTAGGGCATTAGGGTTTAAGGCTTCAGGGTATTGGTGCTTTGGGCTTAATGGTCTCCTTGTTGGGATGACTACGCAAAGCTCCGTAACAGCAGCCCAGGTATGTAGGGTTTCTGCTTGCAGGGCATGGCTTGAGGTTTAGGGCGTCTCGTTGAGCGCGTTTCCTTCCGAAGGATTCCTGGCTGCTGAGTCACTGCTGAGGTCTGGCCAGAATCTGGCCATGTCTGGCCATGGAAGTGTGGAGTTTAAAGTCTCGAATCTGGGACGCTTGGGTTGAGAACATGAAGGTTCTTGGGCGATGCTTCGGGCGGTTTAGGGGGTCAAGGGCCAAAGAATGAGCAATGCAGAGACTTACTGTAGGTGTTTTGGCAGAGCTCACCCTTTGCGTTGCTTCCTGCAAACCGACATGGCACGGTGAAACTTCGAGACACATTCTGCCCGAACACACCAGGCTTGCGCAGGACTGCGCCCCCTCCTTATGCCTCATTTGTTGCCTATTGCACTTACTAGTGCGAATACTTTTATGCTTATGCCACCCCGAGGCAGAGGTAGGTTCAGGATTTGACAGAGACAGGCCGAAGCGTCTTGGAAACTTCTCTCATCGTTCAACACAAAGTCTCTAAGTGGCTTGTTCTTGGAGTGCATTCCAGGCTTCCGTGATCTCGTTTGCGACTCTCTCCATCTCCTGCATGCGAGTGTCGATGATGCGGTGAATCACCTTTCGCAGTACGAAGTCATTCTGGGCTCGACCTATTTCATCTGCCGGTTCTGGTGGGAACGTCTCGCAGAGCTGGACAGGAATGATGCGGAGGTGGTGCTGATGGGCATACTCGAGCTCCCTGAAGGTCTCGTACTGAATTCCTGTTTTTGCACCATAATCTGCAGTACAGAATGCAATGATTCCAAGCGCTCGGTAAAGGCCGAGCATAGTCTGTGATCCAAACTCATCACCGGGTCCGCGTGTCTTGACCATGAATATGTCGACTCCTCTGTCTTTCAGCAGCCTAGTAACCTCGGTCATGTAATCCAGATACTTCTGGCAGTTAAAGCGACCCGAAACCAGGAGGTGTCTCCGCTGCACTTGCTGGGGCAGCGCGGCTGCAGATGGCTGCGACGCTTCCGCCTGCGCTTGCTGCGCCGCCTGCTCGGGAATTTGCAACACACAGGCGCGCAGCTTTGGAACGAGGCAGGTCATGCACCTTTCTATCTTGACCCTGGAGGTGTTTGTGCGCATCATAAACACAGCCAACGGACGCTTTGTGACCTGGCCTGCACAGTGATCACTGGCCTCGCAAAACGACCGAACCTGTCCCGGATGCTGGCAAGATTCTCCCTGATGGTGAGGGCCTTGGGTAGCCAGGTGGGATCACGCACGGTCTCTGTACACTTCCTAGGGCTCCGCCTCGAGCTTAGCTTACCTCTTTATATTACTTGCAGCTCCTGTAACATTAAGTGTTTCGCATTGTTCCGGGCGACGCGAGGTTACGTAACGTGCACAACTTTCGCACGTTTCTGCAACGTGCACAACTTACCGGGTCTCCAGGACACTTGGAACCGGGTTCTGGCCCCGAAGGGCTGGAATACCTTATTAACACACAGTTCATCAAGAACCAGAGACAGGGGTACACGATCAAGCGGTACTGCGTAGCGTACTCATATATAGTTATCATCTAGGTAGTCTGCTTGGGGTAAAATAAGCTGTTACAAGAGAGCCTTCCATACGGTTCAGTATCCATTGAAAAGGAAACCTTCCAGACGGTTCAGTAACCATCTAAAAGGAAGCCTTCCATAGGTCCATAGGTTCAGTACCCCGCTATAGCTAGGCTAATTGGTGGGCCAGGTACTGGAGCGCTTTGTCTCAATGCATTTCCCAAACTTCCCGAAACAAGCACCCGCCCCGAGACACTCAACCAACCGAGTGATAGAATGCCACCACAAAACACACAAGATGCCCATGCAGAACTTAAAACGAACAAAGGTCAAGGGATAGAGGCTGTAAAGTGCAACCTACTATGCTCCCGCTCCCGAAATAAATGCAACGCATGCAAAGCACCTTCCTGATTCCTGCTCTGCACAATCACTTGACTCACTTGCACCTGCGTAGGACCCTGAAACAGAGAAGATCATGCACGGTTTCAACTCGTGATTCTCAGACCTTGCTGCCTGTCACACCTTGGCGCCGGTCACATGACACCCGCGACAGCTCTTCGAAGCATACTGTTGGTAGAGGGTAAGCCCCAACTCGAAATAGATCACGTAGATACCTTGTCAAACTGAGGGGCGCCAAAGTTCCTCAGCTGCCACCAAGATGTCAGTTGCTGGCCGTGGCCCTCTCCTGGCAAGGAGGGTGGCTTCGATCTGAAGCTAGTACTCTGCTGTCAGAGATTCACATTGTCCTGCAACCCAGGCAATGCCTCGCACGGTACATGGATTGGTACTCGGCTTTGCAGCCAGCCAAGCAGTGCCTCTTTGACAACGATGTAGGCTCGAATTATTCTTGCAAGCGAGGCATGACTGCAAAATACCATGAGGCTTCAGATTCGGTTGCTTCCGACAAAGCTGTTGGTTGCCTTTGGCACCATGCACTTGGGGTGGGTCTGAAAGAAATCGCCGTAACTTGTGCACTGTTGCATTGCTGTACTTACCACGGAATCTGACGATACACCTCCGAAACCTCAAATCCTAAACCCAACCAAATTCCTGAACCATCAAACTTGCTAACTTGCCCAGTATCCGTCAAAATCTGTGCCACTCGTAGACATCCGGCTGACAGAGCCGCTAGCAGAACGAAGCCACTCGGGCTCCACGTCCTGCAGGTCTACCTCTGCGAGGACCTTGCCGGACAAAAGGAATGATTACTGATCACAAGGGCTTGAAGAGAAGAACGGGGTTTTGCGTATGAAGATTTTGGGGTGAACGGCATGCGGCCCACGGGCCTCCAACAGCGGAGGATTTCCAGCTGGCTCAATTGCCACCTGAACCGTGCTGCAAGGAGGTGCAGCGATGAGGTACCTGTCACAGAATCGCGGGGGTTCATGATTGGATACAGATTCCTAGGCTGCCCTGATTCATTCTTATTGCCGCCGATTTCGGGGCTTGCGTCAAGCCAAAAGAACCAACACAGCAACTTACGAAGGCAACCAAACAGTCTTCCTGGCTGCTAGATGAGCATGCGCCAAAAGAGTACGTCCGGGGGACGACGCGAGAGGGCTGCAGGTTGGGTTGGGGTTTAGGGGGTTCCGGGTTTTGGGTTTAGGGTTGTAGGGTTTTGGCTTTTGGGCTTCAGGGTTTACTGTAGGGTTTTAGGGTTTCAGAGGGTGAAGGTTTGGGGTCTTTTAGAGTTTCAGGGGTTAGGGGTTTAGGGTGTCAGGGGTTTAGGGTTGTAGGGTTTAAGGTTTCAGGGAGTTAAGGTTTTAGGGTTTCAGGGGGTTAGGGTGTCAGGTTTTACAGTTTCAGGGGTGAGGGGTTTAGGGTTTCAGGAGGTGCGGGTTTTAGGGTTTCAGGCTGCTAGGGTTTCAGGGTTTTAGGGTTTGAGGGGTTCGAGGTTTAGGTAGGGAGGGTTGTAGGGTTCTAGGGTTTAGGGGGTTAGGGTTTGGTTCCGGGTTTAGGGTTTCAGGGTCAAGAGTTTAGGGTTTTGGGGTTTCAGGGTTGCAGGGCTTTTAGGGTTTCACGGGTTTAGGGTTTTAGGGATTCAGGGATTAGGGTTTCAGGGGTTTAGGGTTTCAGGGTTTAGGGTTTAGGGGGTTAGAGTTTCAGGGGTTAGGATTTCAGGGTTTAGGGTTTTCAGGGTTTGGGGCGGTTTCAGCGGGTTAGGGTCTCAGGGTCGGGTTTTAGGGTTTCGGCAGGTTGGGGTTTCCGGGTTTAAGGGGTTTAGGGTTTCAAGGTTTACGAAACTAACCACTTTGAGGAGACTATCATTAATATTGATATTGTTGTTGTGGCGATGACCGTTACTAGTGCACCTCGCAACCCGCCCCTCGTGACCTCGTGGCTTCGGGGCTTGGAGGCAGCGCCAAGCCTGAGCACGGCTACCGTCACCACATCCCAGCCCGCATCTTGGAGGAGGGAGCGGTTCCGGGTACGTAACCCTCAACCCTACACCCGCGTGGTTTTGGGTCCAGGGGCTTAGGGTCCCGGGCTGTCCTTCAACTGTCTCTCCGACTATCCCGAAACCCTTGAACCCCTAGCCCCAACTCTCCTCAATAGTCGTTGCACGGGCAGCAAAGGTTCAAGGTTAAGGGTTTAGGGTTTACACCCTGCAAGGGTAGGTGCTTAGGGTCTAACGGAATGTGTTTAGGGTTTGGTTTAGGGTTTTAGGGGTGTTGGGCAGGTTCTGGCACGCGAGACCCTTCATGCCGTGCATGAACAGATCACTCGTCCAAGAACTTCCTAACTGGACGTACACACATGTGTACAAATATACATATAAATATATTTATATATGCAAAACCTATAAACCCTATAGCACCTAAAACCCTGTAAACCCTCTAAACCCTCTAAACCCACAAACCGTACAACAAAAAACGTGTAAGCCCCCACAGTCCATAGCTTCCCAGATGATTTGCTCCGCTGCGGGCGTATCACGTAACCTACCCAGAAATCTAAGCTTCCAGACCCCAAAACTCACTCGCTCCCCGAGTTGCCTAGGAAGAATGAGGGCATCCTTTTTGATTTAGACCTGGGACTCTATTTACCTACAGTCTAGTAGTAGCTACCCCTCATTCGTAGGTATGACCCATAAAACTGTAGGTAAAGAGGGTCCCTGGAAGAGCTCTTGTAGTCGACACCAGAACAAACGGAGTAACCGTCCTTGAGTTCACAAAGGGTCATCAGCACCTCTTTGGGTGGCTACATGGTCCTGTCATGTGGGCCCTTAGATGGGGAGCCCTTTTTGCCAATTTTTCCCGAGAAAAACCCAAGGGCCCATACTTCAGAACCCTTAAGAAGGGTAAGGGAGCCCTGTCAAGGGACCATGAAACTACCCTAAAATCGCCCAGGCGTGAAATGGCCTAAACCCTAAACCCTAAACCCTAAACCCTAAACCCTAAACCCTAAACCCTAAACCCTAAACCCTAAACCCCAAACCCCAAACCCTAAACCCTAAACCCTAAACCCTAAACCCTAACGGGCTTTGGGAAGCTTCGGGGTCCAAGAGACCTCTGAGAGGGGCTCCGAAGCCTCTCCCATCGCCTGATTGGCAGAACAGTGTGGAATGAAGGCTTTGAGGTTAACTAAACCCTAAACCCTAAACCCTAAACCCTAAACCCTAAACCCTAAACCCTAAACCCTAAACCCTAAACCCTAAACCCTAAACCCTAAACCCTAAACCCTAAACCCTAAACCCTCAACCCTCAACCCTCAACCCTAACCCAAACCCGAAACCCTAAACCCTAAACCCTAAACCCTAAACCCTAGACCCTTGCTGGTTTTACTGGGCTCAGTGGGTTTGGGCCGCGTCCCTGAATCTTCCCAGAGCGCGAAGTGGCAAACCCAGAGGCCCAAGAGCCCCCGTTCTTGAAGGACTTAATTCTGATTCGGGGGGCCCAAAGGCCCTGTTTGTTAGGGTTTAGGGTTTAGGGTTTAGGGTTTAGGGTTTAGGGTTTAGGGTTTAGGGTTTAGGGTTTAGGGTTTAGGGTTTAGGGTTTAGGGTTTAGGGTTTAGGGTTTAGGGTTTAGGGTTTAGGGTTTAGGGTTTAGGGTTAAGGGTTTAGGGTTTAGGGTTTAGGGTTTAGGGGTTAGGGTTTAGGGTTTAGGGTTTAGGGTTTAGGGTTTAGGGTTTAGGGTTTAGGGTTTAGGGTTTAGGGTTTAGGGTTTAGGGTTTAGGGTTTAGGGTTCAGGGTTTAGGGTTTAGGGTTTAGGGTTTAGGGTTCAGCAGCTCTGGGTCGAGCAATCTCTAGTAGAGCCGCTGTCTGGACTCTAGAAAAAAACCCACCCACCCAGAGGGGCTGGAGGGGCTGGAGGCTGGAGGGGCTGGAGGCTGGGGGCTGGAGGGCTGGAGGCTGGAGGGGCTGGGCTGGAGGCTTGGAGGTTGGAGGGGCTGGAGGCTGGAGGGGCTGGAGGCTGGAGGCTGGAGGCTGGAGGCTGGAGGCTGGAGGCTGGAGGCTGGAGGCTGGAGGGGCTGAAGGCTGGAGGCTGGGGCTGTGGAGGCTGGAGGGGCTGGAGGCTGGTGGGGCTAGAGGCTGGAGCGGCTGGAGGCTGGAGGGGGTGGAGGCTGGAGGGGCGGAGGGGGTTGGAGGGGTTGGGGGCGGCTGTGGCTTGGGGGGGGGGGGTTGGCACCCGAACCGAACCGAACCGAACCGCAAGCCGCAGCGAACCGCATGAACCGGAACCGTTCCAGAGTATGTACCAGGAAACCGAAACGAACCTACACGAACCGTGGCCTTGCTGCGCTTTTCATTTTAGCACATTCAAAGTTCATTCGCTTCAACATCTTCAACAACGCATCCCCGCAAGCCTCAGAGACCTGCAGCTAAGCTTGTTGTTTTTAGAGGGTCTATCGCGAGGAGAGTAGGTGCCTATGGAAAACTGATAGGGGTCTATGTTGCATGGGGGGTGGTACAAGTAGGGATTTTGGGGGGTGTATGCATAGGGGCCTATGGAAAACGGGCAGGGGTCTATGTATATGAAAGAGGCTACGAAGGGCCTGCAGAAGAGGCACCTATCAAAGAAACATCGACGGCTATCGCAGGGGGGGGGGGGGGGACTTCTGGACCTATCTTCGGACTTCTGGACTTTGACTGCTGGCCTGTGGATCTTTGGATCTTTGGATCTTTGGATCTTTGGATCTTTGGTTTTCCATTCGGACCGCTGATCTCTTGGCTGCTTGGACTGCTGGCCCTCCTATTGATCTCCAGGCAGGAAAGAATCGAAGGTGAGCAAGGGATGTTCAGCGAGCGACAAAAACATATACAAAAAAGACGCTGCTATAGTAGTGTCACATAGCGTTGGAGGAGTGGATGGGCCATTTAGAACCTATCTGTCGCCTCACAAGCACCTCCAGCGCATGCTTCAACGTCGGATGCTGCACCATAAAACCCGAAACCGCAAGCCCTAAACCCCAACCCTAAAACATCAATGAACTTGGAACCCTAACAGAAATTAGAACTTGAGCTGTTTCTTAGGAATTACAGTACCCCAAAAATTAGCAATTGTTCCCAAGTATCCCAAAGAAAATACCTACGAACAGCACCCTTTGCACTCAGCTGCCTGCCTGCGCCCTGATCACCGGCAGAGGTGACAACGGCGGAGGTGCTCTGCTGAGGGCGCTGTGGATCTGGCTGCCTAGTGCGAAAACAAATGAGAACCAAGTGCTAAGCGTTGCAGTTCCGGTCGAAACTCCCAGTATTGATATGGGGGTTTCCGAAATGGAGGTGGGACTACCCTTTTTGGGGTCCAAATAAAAGGGGTAATATCTCGGGTTTTGGGGTGCTATTACAGTATAATTACAAAGCGGCCATAAGGGAATGCCATTCGTAATGACCCCGACCCCTTTATCCAGCCACTTGGGGCTAGGGTTTAGGATGGTTTCGGTTCAGGAGCCATGGTGTGGTCCTGAGAATCCTTATCATCGGGGGCTAGTCAAGTCTTTCGGGGGTATGTGGGGGTACCTTTTTTGGAAGAAACGCCGGAGTAGAAAACGAGTGGTTGCCAGGGCTTGGTGCCAGGGTTTGGGGGCATGAGCTTCGCGACAACGAAACCGAAACGATTGCGCTGGATATTGAGGGGGATCGTACTGTAGTTCAATAACAACGCGTTCCATTTGAGAATTCTGAGATACTTTTGAAACAGAGGTACATCTGCTGCACTTGCTGAGCTGGTTGGGCGCCACCAGCGGCGTCTGCGGAAGAGCCTTCCAGCAAACGTCTCAGCATTGAAAAACGCAGAGGCCATCCGCGAGTTCCTCCCCTTTAGGGTCCCTGCGCAAGGACAAAGTGGGGCCCTGCTACTGTTGTAACAAATCCTCTCTAGTACCGCATCTGCATAAGCACGCAGGACTGCCTCATGAATTGCATCTTGATGGCATGGAAGTGGCTCTGGCCCCGGTAATATAAGTAGCGAAGAAGCACCCCTGCCAGGACCCGTGTGAGCTCCTCTGCTAGCTCGAAGCAACCCGAAGCAGAGCATCCCGAATCACACACGCCGTTACGCTGTTACGCCTGTCGGCCCACAATCCTCAAGGCCCATCATCCTCAAGCATCGCGAATAGCGACGTGCAAAATTCACCGGGAGATGCCCTCATGCCGATATTACCCCCCCATGCATACGTCTGCCAGGGGACCAGTGGCAGGGGCAAAGGCCTCCTTTTGAGCGCTTTGCGGATCTGGGATCCTGAGCCCAAAAATAACTTCGCGCATAGGGTTTCTATAGTAGGGCCTTTAGGGGCTAGAGGCAGTTTACGGTTTACGGGGATAGGGTTAGGGTTCAGTGCCCAGGGTTGTCGCTACAGCTTGTTACAGTATTAAAGGGCAGGAACCAAGACCCAAGAAAACCGAGCGATCCAAACCATTGCCAAACTGAATGACCAAACAATGGACAACATGCTGCAAGGTACTTCCGCTGCTGCACTTGCTGAGCTGCTGGTGCTGCAGATGCACCTGGCAGACCTGAGCAGCATGTGTTGCGCCTGTGCTCTGGGAAAGGACTCACCACACACCACAGCACTGCAATCAGCAATTCATTCTGCCCGAGGCACGAAAGAGGTGGGAACTCTTGCCAATGGAGATCTCAAACTGGGTGTTCTGCACGGGTAAAACGGAGCTGGTGACAAATGGCATTTTATCGAATTCCAGCAGCACACGCTCCATCCAAGGCTGGCTCTGGTGTGACAAAACAATCTCCTGCTCGTGGCGGTACTTTCCAGCATCCTTTGGCGGAGTGCACTCCTCAAATCCCTGCAAGGTCTCCGGGTCTTGGCAGCACTCCTCGGCCAGCTCCTGCTGGCAATTGGCACAGTTTGCATGCACCACGGCAAACTTTGCAGCCTGCTCGCCGGTCTCCAAGAAGCCTCGCACCTTGAGCCTTGTTGGCGTTGGATTGTCGGTACCAACAAAGGCAAGACAGAAGTGGTCCAAGTAAATCACAGCTGTCCCCGCGAAGAACTCTACATTCGCCACCTCTTCCCAATCACCCCCAGGTACGGAGCGCCAGGCCTTTTGGGCTCCCGTACATGTCGGAAGCACCAGCATCACATGCTGACCTTTGAAGGTCTCATCGTGTGGATGGAGCTCCAAGATGGGGCTGAGAGGCACCACACCCTTCGGGAGTGGAACAGGCGGGTCCTCCGTTACAACTCGAAATCCAGGCGAGAATTTATCGCGCAAGGTCTTCGGCATTGCCATGAGGACTCCATTCTTCATCTCAGCTATGTCCCCAACTCTCAGCTCGATCACGAGACCAGCGGAGAGCTCGAGGCCTAGTAGTAGGAAATTTGGGCATAGTCCCCGCGAGTGAGATTGATTGAAATTCATGGGGCCAAGCACCGAGGGAAAGTTGTCTTGTTCTTGGATCTATGGTGCTGTCGGTTGGCGCAGGGTGTGACAAATGACTCTTTACCCACGCAAATCCAGGATCTTGTCGTAGTGTGCCAAGAAACACCCCTACAACCACACTAAAATGACACACTCGCGAACTTCACAATCATTCCAATTGTTGTGCATGCCGCGCAGGCCTGCTTCACGCACCATTTCTGATGCGGGTTGCAAGTGAGCTTCCTGGCACGCAAAATCATCACAACTGTGGGTCTTGAGGCATCTGACCATCACCCCCGATCCGCCCTGGACTGCGCAGCACTAAGCTTCAATAATGGCAGGCTTGGTTCTAGATTCTGTTTAACACCTTGGACCACGCTATAACTGTCTGCCTGACTTGCCCACATCCGCCTTGAACACTGTCATGAAGCAAGACAGCACGGTACTGAAGCAGACACAGAAATGAGTCCATGATTGTCGTGGATGCCTCTATCTGCATCTCCTGAACCTGCTCTGTCTCCAGGTCCAGCTGCGCCATCTTGTCCGGGCCCTATTTGTTGGTAGAAACAACCCAACTTATCCCATGTCTGAAAATATGGAGTTTTTTTGGGCGGCAATCCCTTCCCTGATAAACTTGATCCGCCCAAGACGAAAGCAAGATATTGCTAGGATCTGTTGCCACTGTTGCTAGTAAAGACTACGGTCGACAAGTAAGTAGGCCATGAAACTAGATGCCTAGAAAAAACCGCGCACAAGAAAGGATGACGGTAATCTCAAAGGCCTTGCCTGGCGCCGCTCCTCCAGTGCCGAGCCAAAGAACTCGGCCGGGTCCTCAAGCAACGCTCGCAGCTGCTCCTGGGCTAGGCCTTCCAGTAGCTTCTTCACAGTGTCCATCTCCGTCAGGAAGGTCGAAAGCTGACTCTGGTGGATCTTCAGGACAATGCCCTGAACAAACTTCACAGGGTCATCTTCGAAGGCCTCTGTGAGGTGATCGGGAAGCTCTCGAAAGAGCTGGTGCAAGGCAGGCCCTTGTTCCCTAGCGGACGTCTTGATGTTTTCGGGAAGAGCACTGCCGGTGATAACATCCGCGATTTCTGCCACCTCAGCATGCGTCATCAAATCCTACCGAGCGCCCTGGACAAAGCCCTCTAAACCATGACCCTGAAACACCGGCACTGCGATCATCCACCTTCTCACTCCTCGTTGCAATCAGAGCTGCTGGATTCCTCGCCACAGCAGTGAGCACAGCCGAAAGAGGCAAGGTCCGCAGGTCATCCACATGTTTGAGGACAACATCGCCATTGAGGATCTTTAGTTCCAAGCCCTTTGGAACCAGGTTCTGGGTCTCCAGGGTCACCATTGCTTGCTTCACAGATGCCGTCTTTTGCCTGTCCAGTATCGTGGTGCTGCCAGACAACCAATTGATTCGAAGATCGTTGCATCTTCCTGCACTCAAGAAGCCAAGTAGCCAACCCTCAAAGCGACATGGAATCTTTGACAGCAACTTAAGATCTCACCGTGATTTGGTGCTTAACCCACGGCCCAGGGTCATCAACCGAACTCCAGTTCTGTTGTTCGAAAGCGGCCTTGCCGTACGAGCTCCCCATCTGCCAGGGCATCTTCAAAAGCCTCTCAATCCAAGAACTTATCAGCACGGCTTCTCATGCGAAGTGACAACTGTTGACCGTGCTGACAGCAACCAACTGTTGCTTTGGAGTTCAGCGGCATGATTGAGAGTGCGCTTGTAAGAACGATTCGTGTGCACAGCTGGCTAGGAAGCTGTCACGCTTTGCCGAGGTCAGTGTCACTCGCCAAACCTACTTATGCTACCATTCCGAACCCATCTGATTATTATTGCGCGCAGGAGAAATCTGCAGGCTGTCATCGCGCGTGGCTGACCATGTAACTAAGTAGATACGCTAGAGCAAACCATTCCTGGACAATGGCGCTCTCGCTGCGCGCGGTCCGGATCCAGCAGCGCTTTCCAGACTCCATCAAAGCTGCCTGCAGCCGTTGCAGACTTGCGCCTCAGGGAAGCACAGTTGAGATCCCATTGCGCGGCATGATCCTGATGGCCAGCACCCTGCCCTGACCATTCACCTGCCTGCTGCATCACTCAAAGCGACGCCGACGACCAGTTGCACGCTCTCTCTTGCCGATAAGGCTTGAATCAAACGTGAATCTGGCAAGACAAAGGGGCATCCAACCGCCACGATGATAATCTCTTGACATCTTGAGTCGATAGGAAGGTTCTGGTGGAGGTCGTCAAGAGCTTCAGACACACGGAGCGTACCACTGCCGGCAAACTCCGGCAAGTGTGGCAGCATGTCCGTGGTCCTGTGGTGGTCCACAAGGACCTGAAACTTCGTGCGGGGAAGCATGAAATCGGGACTCACATGTAAGCCTGAGGCCGGCACCTGCATGGACTCACCAAGAAGCCAAACCGACGCCCTTCTGACAAAGCGGGCTTTCTCGCTGGTGCACAGCTGCACCCTGAAAGCGTCGTAGCCAGCTGACAGAAGCTGCCAAGGCTCCCCGGCCATTGAAGCAGAGCTGTCCAAAAGCAGCGAGAAATGGACCTGCACATGCACAAAAAAGTGAGCTGATAACCGTTCCTAAATCCCAAACAGTGGATATGGTAAGTTGGTGGCCAAAAAAGGATGTAATTCTATCAAACATCAACATCGACTCAGCAGGTTGTGTCAGGCATGTGCCGGCGGCCAGCCTGCTTCTCTTTTAGCGCCTCCACTATGAGGGACTCAGCCATACCGACATCGTTCCCGGAGAGGTCCATCTCAGTCACCCAGTTCGTCTGCAGCGCCTGCGTCCGAGCTACTCCCTCACCCCCCGCGACTCGTCATGCATGTTCGCACTTCTGCTGTGACAGTTCAAAACACAAAGAAAACCTTGCCGAAACCGACCAGCCTCCAGCAGCATACGGGCGCCATCCTCCTTGATCCCATTCTGACGGAGGCTCAGCCGTGTCAGCCGCTCCTTCTCCTCGAGCACCTGCGATACACAGCTACGCACACTGCGCTGGCCCTGGGTCGAGAAGCCGAGAGGAGGTAAACTCCGAGTCGAAGCCCGGCGCGCTCTAAACAAGTCGTTAGCTGTGAGCGCAAGTAGCTCACCGCCTGCAGCAGTAACGGAAGATTCGGCACAAGGTCGCTCTGCATGATTGCCAAGCTCCTGAGGGCGACACTGAAGAAGAAAACGGGGGACCAAAGAGAGAGGGAGCAGGAGAGAATGCTTTACTGATAAGGGAAGTAAATGCTGTTCCATGTGTATTGGTTAGGGCATGACAACAACAAGCAGACACACGGAGCAGTCATGGCGAGGCTCTCCAACTGCGGGTAGTGGTCTAAAGAACTCAGCCCTACAGCCAAAGCATCGGCACTAAGATCGGAAAGCTGGAGCGCTCTGCAGCGCGCCGCTTTCTCTTCGAAGACACGCTTTTGAAGTTGTAAGACAACATCTTCGTCACTCCGATGCGTGAATTTAAGCGTGTTGGGCCCAACGGTGGCTCGGAAGGTCTCAGGATCCATCGGAGCGACGCCGCTCACGTCGCCCTCCACACTGTCGACTTCTTCCGACAGCCCAGTTGTGTATCGGGTGGACGACCATTGGAGCTCTGCGACGCACCACCCGCGCCTGTGATGTGGAGTCCTATTCTGCACGAGCTCTGCCGCCAGGACGGGTCTGACGCACCCGCTAGGCACGTGGTAAACCTGAACGTGCTCCTGGTTGCACCAGGCTTCCCTGACGCGCTCCTCGGGCGTCAGAGATTCGATGCGCAATGTGCGTGTCCACTCGTGCGCAAATAGCACATGCAGGTTACGCCTGGCACGGCGAAAGCTCTCTTCGTGTGCCGGCTGCAGCCGCTTAAACTGGAAAAGTGAGACGTAGGCTATGTACAAGGCATCCTGCCCCCGCAGCTTCTCTGATGTTGCGAGCTTTTGCAGCTGGTAGCCGTAGGGGTCAGGATGCTCACGGGCCTCCCACATCGCTGAAACTGAAACGATCCTCCCGATCTCAGTCGGCTGGTCGTTGGCCCAAGCCAGCACCTTGAGACAGGTCACGGGATTGCGTGAGACCGCGGGGGCCCTGTGGCTCCGATGTGTTCCGGTGCCAGGAAAGGCGGCGGCCCTCCGTGCCTCCTCGTGCGTGACCAGCGCGGTGCGGCTCCCGACGTATGCAAACTCGGCTTCCTGGCGCCTCGGGAAGCGCCGGCCTCCGCGCAGGGAAGGCTGGAAAAAAAGGGGCGGGAGAGTGAGGCGCTGATCGGAAGGGTGAGTGGCCTTCACGGTAAAGTTTTTGCAGGAACTCAACGCGCACCTTAGCGCGTTTCCAAGACGGGCCCCAATCCCCAGAAGCGAGAAACTGCTACGGCAACCTTGCTCCACACGAACTTCCGAGAACCTGACGCCTTAGCAGGTATGTGATTGAACGCAGGATGTTTGTTAAGTCATCTCCCATCATCCAATGTGGCACCAGGCGGATGTCCGCATCTTGCAGGAACTGTGCCAGCTGCATCTTGTCCGACAGGTCGTATCTCTGCGGTACGGAGTCTGCATAGCCGCCCCCGTCCTGTATCTCATGGTGAGCTGCTCAGCTACTGCTGCTTTGTTTGAGGGACTGCGCCTCGGCCTCCATCGTAGCTTCACAAGCCGGTTCCTGGCCCAGGCAACGAGCCAGGGCCTGGCAGCTCAGCAACGCACCTCAGCATCATGACCACGAACAAGTCTCAACTGTGGCCCATGGACTTGGCGATTGGGGGAAGAGATTATGGACGCTCATGGACCCCCATGAACCCCCGTCGACCCCCACAGGCCCCCATGAACCCTTTTCGGACCTCCTACGGCCTGCAAAGCAGTTGCCTGGAAGCTTCTAACATGTAAATTTCGATACCATGGGATGTAGGATGTTTTTGCTGGAAGCAAGTCCAAGTCGAGTTGTAAGGTGCAGTCGGGCCACGGAAGATCGTTCTTCTATATGGTATTGGGTCCAAAGTGTCTCTGATTGAGCGGAATAATGTTGAACCCTCGTTACTGTTGTGCCCCCCCCCTGAACAGTCGAGGCTGGATTTTGCCCTGTTTAGACGCTCCCGGGGGTTGATATGGTTTTCATAGGGAGGAGTTTAGACAAGTTGAAAAGGGGCAGCGATGCCCGGCAATCTGTTTGAAAGGCGCGCCACGAGAAATTTTCTTACGGCGCCCGGACGATTCGCCTTTGATTCAGGATCCTCCAAACATTCAGGGTGTCCTGAATAACCCAGCCAAATTGACTTTCTAGAGGAGGCCCCCACAAAACCAGGCGCAACATTAGAGCTATACCAACATTCGCAAATAGCCGGCGCGATTTGGGGAAGTTTAAGAAAAACAGTACTCCAAAGTCGGAAGCACCGAAACAGCATGGCGCCTTGCGTTGCCGCGAAGAGTTTGTACGGAGAATCGTAATCCGAGCCTTGCTAGGTCTGACTGCCACACATGTCTTTGCAGTGACTTCAGCAGCGTTAAGGGTCGCAATAAGGCTGCTGACACTTGGCTCATAAAGATCTTTCAGGATAATAAATCGCACGTTACGCGGGGATAATATTGGCTACCTTAAACTCGACTCTGGGCAAGGCCGAGGTGGTCGACTCGCAGTGTTTACAATTCTCCAGAATCCAGTGGACTTCCGCGTGTTCCTTCAAGCTGTTACAAGGCGCTGCGGGTGACTGGGCACCCTGCTGCTGTCGGCCTGCAAGCCGGCCTGGGGTTTTCAGGAAGCATCAGGCAGCAGCAGTGGCACGCGGTGGCACTCGCACTACGCTAGCTCCCGCCTGAAGATCCTCCACGGTGAAACCGCTGCCTCACGCTCTGGTCACGGTGACGCCGCATCTCTCCGCTGCATGACTCCCACACCCACAGCATCGTACACAGCACGTAGCGCACCTCTCGAGTCTCAGCTCCCCGCCTGCAAAGCCCCGAAGGATGCTGCAGATCCTGGCGTCCTTGGACATCCACTCGTTTGCCGGGTCGACGTGGCCCATCGGGTCGACCTGGCGAAGTGGCAGGCCATCACAAAAGCGGAACCACCAGGTGCATGCAAACACTCAGCAAGGCATTGCGATGTCGCGAGGATGGCTAGGCATGAACATGTATGCCCGTACCATTCCGTCCCAAGATTGCTCAGCTAAACGACCCGCACCCCAGTGGCACCAAGGGGAGGTCCGCGTTCTTCATCAAAATCTCCACCAGCTGCTTCTTGTGCAGGTCGGAGCACCGTGACTTGGCCTGACGCAGGAGCCGCTGTTCCGCCACTAAGTTTGCATCCTTAGCATCCCTGGACATATGCCTGTAAAGCCATACGCTGACCTCGATTTTGCCTATGACTCCGACCAAGTAAAAGTTCATCACGCTTGGTACTTAGAACAGGTGCTCACTGAGGAGCTTCTTGGGCCAATCTGGATTTCGGCTGCAACACCTCTATCATGTGGCAGACCCAACACTTTTGTAAACCCTTTTGGGGGCACCTTTCCTTGGGGCCACGGCTACAGCTACAAGCTTCCGGGCCTATCGGGAGGGCGGTCGTGATGAGCTACCAAAGTTCGGACCCACCAAGAGAAGAAAAAACAAACTCTGCCCTTGAGAAACAGAAGCACGTCCGAGCTTGAGGCTTGGCTGATGCCGGGCTGGCTGTTTCCGGGCTCAACCTCCCGAATTGGGCACCTCCCCCCCCCCCTAGCGCTGCACCGCGGAGTCGGCAGGGCCCAGCTCCGAGCTGCTGCTGGCCATCGGATCCATCGGCAAGCAGTACAGACAGCACTGTTTGTCAACTACCACCGAAAGGCATCTCAGGCCCGAATCCTTTGGAACTCCCTTTCGTTCGTGGAGGACTTCGGAGTGCTGGTGACACCTGCTCATGCTGCGGGCCACTTCTTTTTTAACGGTCTCTACTGTTTCAATGAATCCTACCTGCCACACATACAAATTACTGCTAAAGTTCTGAGCCTCAAGGCGCGGGTCCACTTACCCAACAGTATAAGTAGAGCCGCGCAAGCGCGCCTGTGTGTATGTGTCTCTCTGAGGGTCTGTGTGTGTGTGTGTGCATGTCTTTACTTCCCTCTCTCTCTCTCTCTCTCTCTCTACGTATCTGAAATTTTGAGGCTTTTCGGTTGTCTCAGCCTTGGTCTTTTTTCAAGGGCTTTTGGGAGTTGGAGCGCTGGCTATGGGTTCAGGGTTGTGAAGCTTATAGTTTCAGGGCTTCAAGGTTTATATGGGCTTTTGGTTTGCTGAGGCGCGCTGCTCCATTGTTGGCTCCTGGTTTGCAATCTTTTGGCCTCTGTCGTACACATGTAGAAATACAGGTCCCCAAACGGTCACACTGCGCAAACTGAGCCCGGAGGTCTGAAACCTTGAACCCCCACAATGGGGGGGGGGTCTACAGGGGCTGGGAGTCAGATTGGAGGTTCATTCAACTCTACACCTCTAGCCCAGCACCATGTATTTCGCGAAAAGAACTGTAAAAAGTGCAGAAGAAGCCTCGTATCATGAACTCAAGGCGCGTCCCTGAATTGCATGGAGGAGTATGGGCCGCATACAGCCCTAAACCCTGTAAGCGTCCCCTGCCCTGAAGTCGCAGGTTTAGAACCGGCCGTAAACACTGAACGAACCCCTAAACCCTAAACCCTAAAACCAACACCCTACGCGGCAAACTCTGGCCTCTTTTGTCATGATTGGCTTACTATCCGGGGTTCCTGAAACGAGTCGCGAGTCTGGTTTGCCCCTCTCTGCCTGTACACAGGAGCAAGCAGAGCGCTAGGATTTGAGGTTTGGGGTTTGGGGTTTTGGTGTTAAGGGTTGGGATGTTCCCCCTTATACTAACAGTCCTTAATAGGGATTAGAATAGGGGGTACTATAATCCCTAAACCCTAAACCCTAAACCCTAAACCCCTAAACCCTAAACCCTAAACCCTAAACCCTCAACCCTGAACCCTAAACCCTAAACCCTAAACCCTAAATAATCCCTAGTAAGGACTGCTAGTATCAGGGTGAGCATCCCAAGCTCAGGGTTTGGGCTTTTGGGGTTGAGACTATTTAAAAGCCCTGGGCAGCAAGCTCCTCGTCTCCTCCTGCTGAGTTACCGAGCTAGTTTGGGGTTTAGGGTTTAGGGTTTAGGGTTTAGGGTTTAGGGTTTAGGGTTTAGGGTTTAGGGTTTAGGGCTTAGGGGTGAGGGGTTAGGGGTTAGGGTTTAGGGGTTAGGGTCGCAGGGCTTAAGGGTTAAGGGCATTCTCTTCACAAAGATTCCCCCCCCCCTCAAGCTGCAGTGCTACCATTTGCTTAGGAACCCCCCCCCCCCCAAAAAAAAATAAATATAATAATAATAATCCCTTGATTACCTGTAGAAGCAAGAATATGTTCTATTTCTTTGAGTTTTCTTAAGAAAATGGTCGTGGAGAGGAGGGCCGGCAGCGACAGGGTGCAAAAGAGTTGTGCGTTCCTGGCTTTGGAAGAGTTTGCAGACAACCCCTAAACCCTAAACCCTAAACCCTAAACCCTAAACCCTAAACCCTAAACCCAAAGCCCTAAACCCTAAACCCATCTTAGGGCCCCTACGATTCTTCTTATGCCTGGAGGGGGGGGGGGGGTGCACCTCGTGAGCAGACTTGCAGCACCCTCATGCCCCGCACCCTGAGGCCCCCAAACCCTAAACCCTATACGCTAAACCCTGAACCCTAAACCCTGAAAGGCCTCAAGCCGAGCCATGCGGCCTCAACAGCTTTTGGGAGCTCAGCACAGCTCAGGAGACTAACCAAGAATGTTGGGAAGCTTGGGGTTTAGGGTTCAGGGTTTAGGGTTTAGGGTTCAGGGTTTAGGGTTTAGGGTTTAGGGTTCAGTGTTTGGGGTTCAGGGTTTAGGGTTTGGGGTTTAGGGTTTAGGGTTTAGGGTTTAGGGTTTAGGGTCTAGGGTTTAGGGTTTAGGGTTTAGGGTTTAGGGTCCAGGGGTTTCACTCTCTGGGGTTTAGGGTTTGGGGTTTAGGGTTCAGGGCTTAGGGTTTAGGGTGTAGGGTTCAGGGCCTAAAAGCCCAAACGGGCGCAAGCCTTGGTGCCCTAAACGCCGAACAACCCCAAACCCCAAATAACAAACCCCTAAACCCGAATGAAGCCCTAAAAACCCTAAAACCTTAACCCTAAACCCTAAACCCTAAACCCCAGGAGCCAGAAACACACGCGGAGAGCCGACTAGGAAGCTCAGCGGACGCCGCCCAGGGCCTTCGCAAGGGCCTGGTCGACCATGTCCTCCGGTTGAGGGTTTAGGGTTTAGGGTTTAGGGTTTAAGGTTCAGGGTTTTGGGTTTAGGGGTTTAGGCCATTAGGGTTCCGGGCTGTAGAGTTTAGGGGCGTCCTCCACTGAGCTCGGGTGCAGTTGGGGCTTCGGGTTTCGGGCTGGGTAACTTGAACCCTAAACTCCAAACCCCAGTCTGCCTGAAACTCAAAGCCAAGATATGAGAGCCGAGGAATGTGGCCGGTCACCGAAATATAAGCAAAGAAGAAGCCCAAGATCGATGTCCTCGAACTAGGGTTTAGGGTTTAGGGTTGAGGGTTAAGGGTTAAGGATTAAGGGTTAAGGGTTAAGGGTTAAGGGTTTAGGGTTTAGGGTTAAGGGTTTAGGGTTTAGGGTTTAGGGTTTAGGGTTTAGGGTTTAGGGTTTAGGGTTTAGGGTTTAGGGTTTAGGGTTTAGGGTTTAAAGAAAGCCGCAAAAGCCATAAACTGCCAAGGCGGCATAGAGGGGGGCCCCATGGGGGCTCCCTATAGCCCTCGGCACTACTTGGAGGTTCATGGTAGTTATTAAACAATTATCACTGTACTTACAACTGTACTTATAACCATATTGGGGCACTTAAGAGTCTTACAAGTGGGGTATACGTGCAGTTATAACTGGTTAATAAGTACCATGAACCTCCAAGTAAAGACCACCACACAGCGGCAGAAGCTGTCCTGTGCGGTCCTGGGTGCTTGCGGCAGATGGAAAAAGTGAGGGATCAGGATTTCGAATTTAGGGTTTAGGGTTTTAGGGGGTTTAGGGTTTTAGGGTTTAGGGTTTAGGGTTTAGGGTTTAGGGTTTGGGGTCTAGGGTTTAGGGCTTAAGGTCCATGACAGTCCTGAGCCGCGAAGGCCTCGATGGTTTAGGGTTTTTGGGCTTGCTTAGGAGGCCACAGCCTCGCAGCATGCCACTCCCCCAGCGTAGAAACAAAATCGAGAGGGCAAGCACTCTCGCAGCACTTGCCCTACCCAACACTGTCGAAACACTGCTAAGTGAGAGCGCTGGCCGGCACTGTCGCAGCACTTGCCATGATGAGGCCAAGAGGACACGCTATCGCAGTGTTCCCCCAGCCGTTCAAAACAGACGGTTGGCTGAGCAAGCGCTGTCGCAGCACTTGCTTTGAAGTTTTTTTGGTGGTCTCCTGTTTCTAGGCCGACGCAGAGTACAGGGTTTGGAGTTGAGGGCAAAACATTTCAAGTAGTACCCCTGTGAAGTTAATGCCAACCACTAGAGTTGGAGCATAGTCGCTGTCGCTTTGCACGCAAGAAAAGGCAAGCTCCCGAGATGCCTCGTCAAAACGAATCGAATCCCTAAACCCTTGCAAGCACTCGTGCGTGTCGTCACGTGTTTCGCCTTGAGCAGATGAGCATCAGAAGACTTTCTACTTAGGGTAATTGGGGATTAGGGTGTCCTTTCAATGCCGACTAGAAGATATATCTTATAGAGACCTCGTGCGCGTTTTTGTATCCCGGTGCCGCATGCCGGGGGGTGGCCCAGGGCCTGACCAGGCCGGGTTCACCCGTTTTTTAACAAAACGACATTTTATACGACTTATCGGCATTGAGTTGACAGGACCAATTTTTATATCTAGTTACAGTAGAGCCCCCCCTGCCCAGGCCGAACTAGATGAATGAAGACTCTGGATGAAGTTACGTCGTGAGATGGCAAAACACAAGTACAACATGATACATGCTGGCCTGGGCTAGAGGGAACCCCAGGCCCAGGTGTGAGCCCCTATTGGGACCCGACACCCTTCCACGGGCCCCCCTTCTTCAAAACGATGTATATAAAACTTAACCGGGGGTTTGGGCTCGGGAAAATCATCTACATACAGGGGCAATTTCTAGAAAGAATCAAAGCATCGTGGGGCAAAAAGGCTCCCCACGGCATCGCAGGGCTATGTGCCCTGCGGAGGGCCGAAAAGGGCCCGTTTTTTGTCGCAAGCAACATGAGCATCAGCATCATCGGCATCATCAGCGTCCTCGGCATCAGCGGCATCATCACATAGCGGCTACGTGGACCTGGAGGATCGGGTCTTAACATTAAATGCATGGCCTGCCTCCCTAAACCCTCCACGCGCGTCGTCGAATGTCTCGTGTGGGTTGTCTCAAACTATTTTTTAGTGCGATTGCACAGACCAATGACATGGTTGAAGTTGCACCTGTTCCAGGAGAGCAAATTTGAAGAAACATGCAAGATGTCTGTGGTTTTGAAGTTTATTCCGAAGTTGAATGAAGAAACCATCCGGACCCTCATCCCCTCATGCTTGAGCAGCAGCCAGATTAAACCTCTCGGAAACCAACTAACCCCGAACCCCTAAGTCCATGAATGCTTCCGACCCCGACGGGGCACTTGGTGAGCTTCCCATCTACTAGGCTGCCCAGTAACCAAGGCTTAAAAAGGGTGCCCTTTTTTGCTTAAAGGGGTTCATAAGGGAACCTACACCCCCCAAAAAAAGGGAATAAGGGTACTACTGGGCATCTTAGTCTAAGGGTTGAGGGTTGAGGGTCGAGTCGCACAGCATGAGAGCGGTGATCGGTGATCTCATGCAAACGGCGAGCTCTTGTCCCCTGTTACGAGGAACTTGTGGGAACACCCTAAACGGCTGGGGGGCATGCAACCCGAACACAATCTTAACCCCAAACCGTTGCCCCTGAGGCTCTAGGGTTTAAGGTTCAGGAGGTATAGAGTTTCGGGTTGTTATGGGACCCTCAACCCTCAACCCTCAACCCTCAACCCTCAACCCTCAACCCTCAACCCTCAACCCTCAACCCTCAACCCTCAACCCTCCGTATTCCCCGACAGGTCAGAAAACAGAAGGCCCCTCTGCTGAGGTGGGGACGTGGAGGGCTCTGGTGCCTTCCCAGATTCAGAGGGAGGCTTGCACTCATGACAGTTGAGGGCTCACTTGAAGGTTCATGGTACTAACTAACCAATTATAACTGTACTTATAACCCTACTCATAATACCCCTAGAGGGGCCTTATAGGGGTTATCCCAAATATAAGTAGGGTTATAAGCCCAGTTATAATTGGTTAGTAAGTACCATGAACCTTCAAGCAGGGTTTAGGGCTGACAGGTTTAGGGTCTATGGTTTAGGCCTAGGGTTTAGGGTTCGTGGCTAAGGGTTTAGGGTGTAGCATTTAGGGTTTGGGGCTTGGGGTTCAAAGTTTAAGGTTTTGGGTTCAGGGTTTAGGGCATCCCTGGTAGGCGGAGATCCTGATGCACCATGGCTTGGTACATGAGGTTTAGGGCTTAGGGATTTTCGGGTTCACGGTATTGGGGTTGACGGGGTTCGGGTTTATATAGGGTTGAGTGTTTCGGGCTTAGGGTTTAGGGTAGGTTGGTGTTTGTCCCCGGGCCCGGTTTTCGGGGTTTCTTCGCCAAGAAAACATTCGCGGGGACTTACAGGTTTATTTTGCTTCCGGGGATTACCAAAAGTAGGGTGTAGGGTTTAGGGTTCAGGGTTTAGGTTTTTTGTACGGCTGCCATGCGCTTCCGACTGTTTTGTTGGAAATCTTAAAAAGCCCTGGGTTGCTTGTAGTCAGTCTCCAAACACACACACACACACACACACACACACACACACACACACACACACACACACACACACACTTCGGGCTGGGTGGTCTAGGTAGTGGTTGAGGTACGTAACTGCGGGTTTTGAAAGTCGCATCGAGCCAAGATCTTGGGTTTTGGGGGGTTTTTTGGGCTTAGGGTTTAGGGTTTAGGGTTTAGGGTTTTGGGTTTAGGGTTTAGGGTTTAGGGTTTAGGGTTCAGGGTTTAGGGTTCAGAGCGCCAAAACTGCTGCAGCCCCCCGAAGAAAAAAGGGCCGCTGGCCTTCGCGAGCTCTTCCTGCAGTTGGTCGGTCCTCGGCGACTGCCCATCGTCAAAGGGCTCTTAAGGGAGGGGTGGTTTAGGGTTTAGGGTTTAGGGTTTGGGGTTTGGGGTTTAGGGTTTAGGGTTTAGGGTTTAGGGTTTAGGGTTTAGGGTTTAGGGTTTGGGGTTTGGGGTTTAGGGTTTAGGGTTTAGGGTTTGGGGTTTGGGGTTTAGGGTTTAGGGTTTAGGGTTGAGGTAGGGATTAGGGCTTAGGGTATAGGGTTCAGGGTTTAGGGTTTAGGGTTTAGGGTTTAGGGTTTAGGGTTTAGGGTTTAGGGGTGTGTAGGTATGTAACTCAAGGTTCCCGGGTACTCCCCTCTAATTTCTAAGGCTCCCTAAGCTTCCCTCTACCCCCCATAAACCCCCTACCTTAAGAATCGTAGAACATCTGCACGCCCACAAAGCCTTGTCTTGTGTGTTTGGGCCCCAAAATCCTTCCCAAACAAGCCCGAATCCTAAACCCAGCAGGTTCAGGGCTTAGGGTTCAAGGTCCAGGCACACCACGCAACCCACAAAACATCTGGCGCCGCACGTCTTTCTCTCACCTCGCTCGGCCAGCCGTCCCAGACCCTGGGAGGATCCAGTAGATCCCCTTAAGGGTTCTGAAAAAAGTAAACCCTAAACCCTAAACCCTAAACCCGAAACCCTAAACCCTAAACCCGATGGAAGGAAAAAGGGTACTAGTTGGGGGTTCTACTTTTCGGATCCTCCCAGGGGGTCTGGGAACTCACGCATGCACGGAATAGATCGTTGCCACCCCATCCTTCGACCCGACCTCGGCTGCGCAAGGCAAGGTTTGGGGGTTCAGGGTTTAGGGTTTAGGGTTTAGGGTTTAGGGTTTAGGGTTTAGGGTTTAGGGTTTAGGGTTTAGGGTTTAGGGTTTAGGGTTTAGGGTTTAGGGTTTTAGGGGTGTAGGCTTTAGGGTTTTAGGGCTTAGGATTTGGGGCACCTAAACCCTCACGTCCGGGGGCTACAAATTGTCAGGTTGGCCAAGAAAACTCTCTTAAAAACACTTTCAGAGTCACATGGGAAGCCTAAATCCTGAACCCTAAACCTCCTCAAAGCCCTTCAAAGCTCTCTGCTCCTCAACAACCCCCCTCAGCCCCTTAGACCCCTCTAACAACCGTATAACAACTCTATAACAACCCTACAACAACTCGATAACAACCATATGAAGCCCTCAACCCCTTAAAGGCACCCCTTCACACACTCTCCTTCGAACCCTTTAAAAAAACTATATGTTTAAGATTCCTTTGGGCTTATATAAATATACATTCCTAAACGGTTATATTGGGATGTTCCCCCTTAATTATACTAACAGTCCTTGATAGGGATTCTAGTACCCCCTAATTAGTATCATCCCTATTAAGGACTGTGAACATCCCAACCTAGAACCCCAGAACCCCAGAACCCGCACACATTCTGAAGCCCAAAGCCCTTGAACCCTGAACCCCTAAGCCCTAAACCCCTAAGCCATATAGACCCTATAATATAAGGGCCTGAATAATTAGGGGGTTATAATAGTATAATCATAAAGGGACCATGACCTACTTAGAGGACTTAGGGCTTATAAGTGCAGTTCTAATTGGGGATGCGCGAAGACCCCCTATCCCGGAAGATATCCCTGAACTGTTACCGCTCTTGTTTACTCTTATCTTTGTCTCGAGTTTTAGCATTATTCTGAACGAGATCGTGCTTTTTTTCACTCTTATCGTTTTATCGAGCAAGAACGCACATCTGATCATCTCGGGGCGCTTCTCTTTACATTTCAATACCTGGAATTGTATCATCCCAGTTACTGGGGTTATAAGTACACTGAACCTCATAAACCCTATAAACCCTATAAACCCTATAAACCCTATAAACCCTATAAACCCTATAAACCCTATAAACCCTATAAACCCTATAAACCCTACAAACCCTATAAAACCTTGAAGCCCTGTAAACATCTGTAAACAACCATTGCGCCCCAGCCACCAGCAGGCTTCCCCCCGCGCCCGCGCAGAGATCAAGGCTGAGCGCCGCGGCCGCCAGTTCCGCGGAGGCCCCAGCCTGCTGGTTTCCTAGCCCTAAACCCTAACCCTAAACCCTATCCCTAAACCCTAAACCCTAAACCCTGAACCCTGAACCCTGAAAACCCTAAACCCTAAACCCTAACCCTAGGGTTTAGGGGTACTTGGAGCATTTTTACTTTAATACCCCAACTAGCACTGTACTTATAACCGACTTCGAGGACAAAGGGGGCTTATAAGTACAGTTTGAACTGGGGTCAAAAGTACCCTGAACCTCCAAGCAAGGCTTACGTTGGGGGCGGGCCAGTGAGTGAGTGCGCCCCCGTCCCGACCACGGCCGCAAAACAAATCGCGCACCTCTACCCCTAACATAGCCACTATATTTCCTTAGAGGAGGATCTTTAAAATGGGTCCCCAAACCCAAAGGGTACAACCTTAGGATTCGGAGGTAGAGTCCCTTGCCTCGAAGTCCCCCCAAACCCTATAAGGCCTGAACCCCTAAACCCTAAACCCTAAACCCTAAACCCTAAACCCTAAACCCTAAACCCTAAACCCTAAACCCTAAACCCTAAACCCTAAACCCTAAACCCTAAACCCTAAACCCTGGACCGGGCCTCCTGAACCCCCTGACTCCTTCCCGAAACCCCCTGAAAACCTCCTAAGCCCCTAAGTCCTGAGCCCTAAACCCCCTAGACCTCCTAAGCCCCTAAGTCCTAATCCCCCCTAAACCTCCTAAGCCCCTAAATCCTCCTAAGCCCCTAAACCCCCTAGACCTCCTAAGCCCTTACGTCCTAAACCCTAAACCCTACTCCTAAGCCCCCAAGTCCTAAACCCTAAACCCTAAACCCTAAATCATAAACCCTAAGCCTTAAACCAACAACCTGAGCAAAGGCCTCCGGGGTGAGGCGGCGCCGGTCGCAAGCCAGGAGCCGCCGCCCAAACGCAACGATCCTCTGCAAGTTGAAGCATGGGGTTTAGGTTTAGGGTTTAGGGTTTGGGGTTTAGGGTTTAGGGTCTAGGGTTTAGGGTTTAGTGCTTTAGGGTTTAGGGTTTAGGGTTTAGGGTTTTTGGGCATGTATCCGTGTATGCGCGCACGCGGAGTGCGCCTCTTGCTGAGATTTAGGGGTGCATTCCCTACTTGGAGGTTCATGGGCACTTATAACTCTAATTCTAACTGTACTTATAAACCCCCTCAGTCCCCTAAGTAGGTTATAAGTAGATTTATAATTGGGGTTGTAAGTACCCATGAACCTCCAAGTATCGCGCTCTTGTATAGCTTATTCCCACTCCCCACCCGAACTATTCTCTTTCAGGGCTGAGGATTCTACCCCCCCCCCTTGCGAAGGGGGGCTTTCTTGGGCTTTCTTGCGTTTGAAAGGCCAGGGGTGTTTCAGGGGCGCCCAAAAGAAACGTCTCCAACTTCAAGTCTAACGGACCTCTACGGTCAGGGATTTGGGGTCTTGAACCCTAAACCCTACACCCTAAACCCTTAACCCTAAACCCTAAACCCTAAACTATGTCCCAGAGGCTCGAGCACGCATGCGGCGACGCTCTCGCCAGCTTATGGTTTGGGCCGTAAGGGCTGAAGTAGGGGATAGGATTAGGGGGACCCTTGGTGATATAGACCCTCCGAACAAGGTCCCTTGTTAAGAGAGCCAGAAGAGGGTTAAGAAGGGGTTCCCGTTTAAGGGTCCCCCTTATCCTACCTAGGACGAAGTGCTGAGGGTTGAGGGTTCTGAAGGTTTGGCGGTGTTGGGGGTTTAGGGTCTTAGGGCTACGGGATGGGTGGCGCTCGAGGCTTGGGGTTCTTGGGTTTCGGGGTTAGGGATTTTTCGGGTTGTTGCGTTCTAAGGTTTAGGGTTGAGAGGTGTTTAGAGCTTTGGGGTTGACAGGTTTCGGGGCTTAGGCTTTCGGGCTTTGGGGGTTTGGGGGGGTCAAAGGGTTTGAGGAGTTTGGGGGCTTCGAGACTTCAGGGTTGTGACGGCTTTGATGTTTGGGGCCTTGGCGGGTCGAAGTTTGGGGCGTTTAAGGGCTTTTAGGTTGTCGCGCTTTCCAGCCTGGGAGGGCCCGAAACCCTAAACCCGGTTAAATCTTTAGGGCTCAGGGTATTAGCTTTTAGGATTAGCGCCGAAGATCCGCACGTGGTCGCTGATCCTGACGTTGGCGTAGGCCTGCCTAGGTTGCTTGTAAGGGCCTTCTTGGAGGTTCAGGGTACCTATAACCCGGATTAGAACTGTACTTATAAGCCCCCCAAAGTCCCCTGAGTAGGTTGTAAGTAGACTTATAATTGGGGTTATAAGTACCCATGAACCTCCAAGTAAAAGTCAGCTACCAGCAGGCGATGATAAACCCTATTTCTACTAGTCAAGGTGCGTACCGCAAACCCTAAACCTTATACTTATACCCTAAACCCTGTTCCCTACATTCTCTCCTGAACCCTAAACCCCTAACCCTAAACCCTAAACCCTATCCATTTTATGGCAACTTAAACCTTGAGTTCCGAAGCGGCAACCCAGCTGCCCAAGGCCCGCGACGTGCCCGACGCTTTGCCCGGTGCGGCCGTCCAACCAACCTGGGTTCCATCGTCGTTTAGGTACGCCTGAACCCTACACCCTAAACCCTAAACCCTAGAAAATACGACCGCGGTTTAGGGTTTAGGGTCGAGGGTTGAGGGTTTAGGGTTTAGGGTTTAGGGTTTCGGCTGCAGGGATGAGGGCAGTGTTGGGATGATATGTTGAGCAGGAGAATTCTGCGGCCTCCACGTCACTCTTCAGCAAGAGCAGATCTCTAATCACGAGGCTTCAGTCTTGGGCCAAAGGGAAACATGATTATTCTTCATTTCCACAGTACACGAGACACATCAGGGCCATCTTTCAAGACAATCTTGCAAAAAAACACTCCACATGAAGTAAGGCCAACCCCACCCCCCGAAAGAGGCCCGTAATGAATTTAGAACAACCCAACCCTACGTACCATCGTCACCCCTGCATAGGGCTTGTTTGTCATCACAGCCAACAGCGCCCTCGCGCCGCTGCAGTGAAGTGAGGATTGGGAGCGGGCCTTCAGATGTCGGCTCCGCATGCACCGATCCTTACAGCCATGCACGATTTTCGCAAGCCGCAGCTTCAATTTGACGTGGCATCTCTGTGGACGCACTGCGTCTCGGCTGCGGGAGCTTATAACGTGCTGTACAACGGGTGGCGAGCTTGATAAAAAGGGCCTCGTGCGGGCGCGAGTGAAGTTATGACTGAATTCGAGAAAATGGCATGGCATGGCGCTTCATGGCCATTCTATGGCAGTGCATCCCTCTGGCCGAAGACCTATGAACTCAGGCGACGCCAAGAATCTGCTTGACGGCCGTGTACGTGCCGAAGACGAAGAGGAAGATGCCCAGAGCCAGGAAGGCCAGGGTCAGGAGGATCTCTCTAGTGAACCAGGAGAAGCTCTTCGTGTCTCTGCGACGGAGCGCCAGGATCCACAAGGGTGGCACGATGAAGGAGATGTAAGCAGAGGCGAAGGCTCCGATGAAGTCCAGCATCTCCTTCAGACTCGTGATGACCACAGCCACCAGCACCACCAAGGCCACAGAGGCGAGGGCACAGAAGATGTCGTACCACCGGGTCGCGGACCGGCCGTAGACCACCACATCCGTCTCCTCGGCGTCGGCGTCGCGGCCCCGGACCTTCCGCACGGCATAGGCCAGGAACTGCCGCACGGGGTAGATGTGAAACTGGAAGCAAGTCAGCACGCTGTACATCACCGAGGCCAAAGAGATGACCACCAAGACTTGCTTCCTCACGGGCATCAGGTCCAGAATCAATGAGTCCTTCTGACCATCCGCCACCCCAAAGGCCAAGACTCCCAAGATGGACACGGTGGCGTACAGCACGAAGCTGAGGCCAGAGCTCAGCAAAGCCACACGCATCATCCGCTTCACCGACGGCTCAGGTGTGATTTCTCCAGTGAGCTGTGGCACATTGAACTGGTTGTTGTAGGCGAAGACCATATTGTTGATGGCGCCCATGTAGCTCAGCATCGTAGCGTGGCCGGGGCCAAACAGGAAGGTCTCCGGCGTGATGCTCTCGTTGATGCCGGACTGGCCCAGGTAGCTTCCCACCACGATCACCAGAAATGCCAACGCAGCTACACTGAGGGCCGCCAGGTGCCGCATGAAGCCGATATCTCTGGCGAGGGCCATGGGACAACACACGAAGATCCCCACCAAGACCACGAAGATGTTGCGCGCGTGCTGGTCTGCATCAAAGATCACCACGAAGACCTGGCCGCAAACGATGAGGTATCCTGCCGCCGCACCAAGGCAGTTGCAGGTGTTCATGAAGCCCGTGATGAAGGACATGGAAGGGTGGAAGAGGCTTTCACAAAGATCCTCGAAGCTCCACGACTTGGTCTCCACCGAAGCCACAGAGATCATACGGATGCTTGCCACGGTCAGCACTGCGCCGATCAGCAGACAGCCCAATTGGTAGATGGCACCCACTTCTGCAGCATGTACGGAGATGGACAAGATGCCAGCGCCAATGCCTGCTTTGCTCAAGCAGATGGCCGACGGCAACACGCCTCCCGAGCGGAAGAGACCCGTAGAACCAACTGTCCCCTCGCAGCCTTTGCTTGAACCGTGTTCCGCCTTAGATCCACCTTCTTGCACTGACAGCCCATCTTCTGTGGAGGCCGTCTCCAGGTCCACATGGTCCACCGGAACCGCAAGCTTCGAAGCCATGGCCCACACAAAGCTCTTGCTGGAATGGCTTTGGGTGCTGGAAGCTGTCGTCTCGGGCACAGGATGCTACAGCACCCTCAACATAAACGCGACATCAGCAGTGGAGGTAACAATAGTAACAGTAGCAGATATACAAGGCACTAGGCGTAGCAGAGGAGCCGCGGCAGTAGCCGGAACAGCAGCCGACGCCACTGTCCTTACACCCTATTCCCCCTGACCCGACACAAAGCCTGCAAACCTTGGGGTTTAGGGTTTAGGGTTTAGGGTTTAGAGTTTAGGGTTTAGGGTTTAGGGTTTAGGGTTTAGGGTTTAGGGTTTAGGGTTTAGGGTTTAGGGTTTAGGGACCCTACAGCCCTACGAGCCTAAACACCCCCCGCCCCCCATAACATAATCCAAGCCGCAGAGCCCGTCCGAGTGGCAGACCACCTTGCTACTGAGTTGTCTCTCTCTGGTTCCCCTAAACCCTAAACCCTAATAAACCCTAATTAACCCTAAACCCTAAACCCTAAACCCTAAACCCTAAGCCCCAAGCCCCAAACCCCAAACCCTAAACCCCAAACCAAACAGGTTAGATACCTACGTGGCATCTGAGCCACAAGGCACCCCGAGCTTGTGCAGCGCTCCAGGTGTCGCACCCATGACCCGGGGGAGACGCTGCAGGTCCAGGTGCCGCGAACCTTCTGGAGGGTTTAGGGTTTAGGGTTTAGGGTTAGGGTTTGGGGTTTAGGGTTTAGGGTTTAGGATTTAGGGTTTAGGGTTTAGGGTCTAGGGTTTGGGGTTTACGGCTTATATAAGGTTTAGGAGTCTAGGGTAGGGTTTTAAGGTTTAGAGTTCTAGGTTCCAGGGTTTAGGGTTTAGGGTTTAGGGTTTAGGGTTTAGGGTTTAGGGTTTAGGGTTTAGGGTTTGGCGTTCAGGGCCTTGGGGTTGAGGGTTAGGGTTGAGGATTTAGCGGTTTGGCGTTCAGGGCCTTGGGGTTGAGGGTTTTGGGGTCAAGAGTTTAGGGTTTAGGGTTTAGGGTTTAGGGTTTAGGGTTTAGGGTTTAGGGTTTTGGGGTCAAGAGTTTAGGGTTTAGGTTAGGGTTTTGGGGCTTTGGGTTTGAGATTCAGGGTTTTGGGACTCTATTGTGGTGCAGGATGTTCCCAAACCCTACACCATGAATCCAAGCCCAAGCATTAAACCCGTTTATGTGAGCACAGCCCAAACGAAACGCACACAACAAACAGCCTAAGAAAACTCAAGCGCACTCCAAGGGGGCGCGAGATTTGTTCAGACCCCAACCCCTAAACCCCAAAGCCTAAACCCCAAACCTTGGCCCCGAAACACGATTCAAAAAAATCAGGGGCTAGTGTTTACGGTCTAGGGCCTAAAACCCCACAACGCCCCATAGCCAGGTCTCTGCTCCACGCTAAACCCTGAACCCTGAACCCTGAACCCTGAACCCTGAACCCTGAACCCTAAACCCTAAACCCTAAACCCTAAACCCTAAACCCTCCAAGGGGCAGCAGAGTTGAGATCCCAGGACCTCACCTTAGCTTGCAGGCTCGTCGGAAGGGAATGAGGTGCCCCCATATCCCCGCCTATACATGCACCCTTTAAAGGGATTCTGTAGGGCACCCGATATCGCCCTATGTATACCCTTTAAGGGATTAGGGTTTAGGGTTTAGGGTTTAGGGATTCCTCTCTTCCCTACTAAGAACCAGGTGGCCTTGCCGCCGGTGCCGCCAGAGGCAAGCAGGGCCTCCTCCTGCCAGCACAGCGCTGTGACCTGCGCAGCTGGGTTTAGGGTTTAGGGTTTAGGGTTTGGGGTTTAGGGTTTAGGGTTTAGGGTTTAGGGTTTAGGGTTGAGGGTTGAGGGTTGAGGGTTCAGGGTTTAGGGTTTAGGGTTTAGGGTTTAGGGTTTAGGGTTTAGGGTTTGGGGTTTAGGGCGTTTTGGGGCTTAGGGTTTCTTAGGGTCTTATGCTTAACGCCCCAAAGACCTGAAATAATAACCTCCCAAGTCCTACCCCCTAAATCGTAAACCCCAAGCCCTGGACCCCAAATCCTCAATCCTAAACCCATTAAAACACTAAAAACCCTAAACCTTAGACGCCCTTAACCTTAAAGTTGGAACTAGGCGATGACGATCTAGGGGTTTGGGGCTCCGTGTTTGGGTCATTGAGGCCTTTCGGCTTGCTGGTCGGACGTTATGACTCAACCCTAAACCCTAAACCCTAAACCCTAAACCCTAAACCCTAAACCCAAAATTGCCATGTACATGTTTCGCGGTCCTTGCATCAGATCGTGAACACTTCTCTTTGAACCCAAACTTCCAAAAAGTCAACCTCACGAACGTGAAGCTCGGAATCTCGAGCCCCTTGGAGCCCCAAAAACCACAAAGCCCTACATCCTAAACCCTAAACCCTAAACCCGAAACCCTAGAAACCCTAGAAACGCTAAGCCCCCAGGCCCAGCGAGCTCGCACCTCTTGCATGTCGTGCGGGTTCGAAGCCGCAAACACCGGCGATGCTGCAAGGATACCTGGCCGGCGGCCTTGAGGCTTTAGTGGCCCTTAACTGTTCAAACCTTACGACCCAACCTCCCCCCGCCCCCCGCCCAAAAAAAAAAACGCCCTAAATGCTGGTTTAGGGTCTGCATTCTGTTGTCACGAATGGGTGGGTGCTGTAAAGCAGGAGGCGAGAGTGGGGAACTTAGTAGAGGAAAACGAAGTGCTCGTGTCACACCGCCTCTAGACTGGTGAATGGCACTCCGTGGTATTGTGCATGCAGTGATGCAGCTGCACTCCGACTCTATCAGCAATCCCTAGGCCGTTAACATCGGGGTCAAGCTAAGTGTGCTAAGCATCCCTAGCAGAAGCCTTAGGTATTGTCACGCGGTCGAGACCACGTTCATACACAAGTCTGGGCTAACGTGCTGTCAGGCCCACGCTGTGCATGCGTTGTGTTTGTTCTCAACGCAATCGATTCATTCTGCCGTGGGAAGGTGGCGAGCAACACGGAGACGGCGAAGAACGCCGGCAAAGCCATCCTGTACGAGTGTGTGCAGACCATCGTCATGACGCTCGACACGGAGAACGGGCTCAAGGTCCTGGCGGTGAACATCCTCGGACGGTAAGCGCGTGTGTCCGTCTCCGCGTGTAATTGAGTTAAGAGCTGTAGCTTTCGGTAGTTAATGGTAGGCGACGACGGTGTTTTTTTCGGTTAAGCCAGCTCTGCCGAAGTGTGGATTCAGGTTTAGCAGCTCTCGTTGAAGGATGGTTTTTCTGCGACTGTTGTGGACACTTTTCTGTTACGGGCCGTGAGCGCAGGGTGTCCCGGATGGGGCTTGTCCATGTCGTTGGCGGGAAGAGCGCAATGCCTTCATTGTGTTTTGGGTTGCCTTCATTGTGATTTCCCTACACCCGGAACCCTAAACCCTAAACCCTAGCCCTAAACCCTAAACCCTAAACCCTAAACCCCAAACCCCAAACCCCAAACCCTAAACCCTAAACCCTAAACCCTAAACCCTAGCCCTAAACCATAAACCCTCAAGGTTTGGGCCAGGTTTAGGTGCTAGGGCCCACCTCCGCCTCCCTCGCGCACGCGAGACACTGCCAGGGAGTCCTGCCAGGTGTTTCCAAGTGGGGATGGGGTACCCCTTTTCGGGTTTAGGGTTTAGGGTTTAGGGTTTAGGGTGTAGGGTGTAGGGTGTTAGGGTTTAGGGTTTAGGGATGTGGGGATCTCCGAAAATCGGGGGTGCAGCTTTTAGGGCTTAGGGTTTAGGGATGTGGGGATTTCCGAAAATAGGGGGTACCCCTTATATACCCCAAAATGCGATTTAATCCCTTTAAAGGAACCCCCAAAGAAGTACCCCTGTTTTCGGAAACCCCCAAGTCTCCCCGAACCTTACAAAAACTGAGCCCGAAGCCGCGAGGTCAAAAAGATTTGGGGGAGGGGGGGGGAGAGGAGGGAGAGGAGGGCTTCGGGTTGAGGGCTTAGGGTTTAGGGTTTAGGGTTCAGCAGATATTTCACGAGGAATTCGGGGTAACAGAGGCATAGGGTTGCGCGGAACGCGATGCGGGTCGGCGCGGAACCAGGAAAACAGGCACACCCTTTTCAGGCGGAGAACCCCCTACACACGCACACATAGAATCACAAGCAATAGCAACCTGACAAGCCGAAAGGCTCAAGTCACTAGTGTAACAAATCAAGAGCAAGGGTTCTCTATTGCATCGTGGAGGGTGTAGGGGTGTATGCTGTAAAGATTGAAGGTTCAGGGCTTCTGAACCAAACAGGCGCTGCGTCTTGAGCAGCCCTGGCCAACCTCTAAAAGCTGAATTCATCTTTGTGTGCTGTCGTTTTTGCTGCGCTGGCTGGGGCGTTTGTTTGGGGCGAGGAAATATGTTGGACCATGCTTTGCGTTTTGGGTCTCTTTTTCTCATTGGGGGGGGGGGGGGGCGTCCAGGCTTTCCGATTAGAATACATCTCAAGGACATACTGAACCTCTCAGACACCCTTTCCTACAGCTACCGGCGCATGGATGTGGAAGCAGCCGAAACACAGGAAGAGGCAAGAGCTTCCGCTGCCGAAACAAACAGATCCTTGAAGCTCCTCACCATGAAAAGATCCTGAACCCTAAACCCCAAGCCCTAAACTTAGGCCCTAAACCCTAAACCCCAAACCCCCAAACCCCAAACCCTAAACCCCAAACCCTAAACCCCAAACCCTGAACCCTAAACCCTAAACCCTAAACCCTAAAACCCCAAACCCCCAACCCCCAAAACCCCTAAACCCTAAACCCCAAACCCCTAAACCCCGAACCCTAAACCCCAAACCCTAAACCCTAAACCCCAAACTCTGTCCTTCGAGATGGAGGCCGCCAGCTCCCCGCACCCCGGCGCCGGCCAGACGGCCAGAGCGCGGCAGCCGCGGGTGTGGAGGAAGCAGCTCTCCGCCTGGTGGGGTTTAGGGTTTAGGGTTTAGGGTTGAGGGTTTAAGGGTTGAGGGTTGAGGGTTGAGGGTTGAGGGTTGAGGGTTCAGGGATTAGGGTTTAGGCTGAGGAAGCAGCTCTCCGCCTGAGCGGGGCTTAGGCGCTCTTTGGGGGCTTTGTGGCAGAGGGCTTTAGGGTTTAGGGTTTGGGGTTTCGGGTTTCGGGTTTCGGGTTTCGGGTTTCGGGTTTCGGGTTGGACCCTTCCGAGGTGTTTCGGTTTTCTTGGGGCTTTTGAATCTTGCGGTTTTGGAGGGCTTCCAGGTTAATGGTGCAAGTAGAGTTGCAATCGGACCGTAAATACTTTAAGAACCAGACGCAATGATCCAAGCACTACCATTCTTGCGCCCCATGGGAGAGAAAGAACACACATGGTTTGCTTGCGCGATGTACAGGGCTTAGGGGTCTTACCCCGATACTAAACCCTAAACCCTCAACCCTGAAGTGCCTAAACCCTTACACGGTTTGAGGACTTGGGTGCCCGAACCCCTCGACACTGAACCCCTCTGGCTCAGTGGGTTTCGTGCTCTTGCCGCCTTCGTTGGCGAAGGCAACGGCGGGCTCAGGCTGTAGACCTGCTGGCGTTCATGGTACTTATTAACCAATTCTAACTGTACTTTATCACTGTACTTATAACCATATCAGGCCTCCAAGTAAGGGCTAAAGGGCTTAGAGGTTCAGGGTCGCGTTGATTGCTTTAGGGCCTGTATAGGAAGGTTCCCGAAACCTGAAGCCCTAACCCTGAACCCTGAACCCTGAACCCTGAACCCTAAACCCTAAACCCTAAACCCTAAGCCCTAAACCCTGCCTTCAGCGACTCTCCGGGAGTGGGGATGAGCCCCGCAGACACGGCAACCAGCGCCGTGTCGCCGCGGAGCTTCCTTAAGCGAGAGACATAGGGCTAGCGTGCAGGGTTTAGGGTTTAGGGTTTAGGGTTTGGGGTTTAGGGTTTAGGGTTTAGGGTTTAGGGCTTAGGGCTTAGGGCTTAGGGCTTAGGGCTTAGGGCTTGGGGCTTAGGGCTTAGGGCTTAGGGCTTAGGGCTTAGGGCTTAGGGCTTAGGGCTTAGGGCTTAGGGCTTAGGGCTTAGGGCTTAGGGCTTAGGGTTTGTGGTGTAATTTGGGGTCTAACTAGGTGTTTTTGGCATGTAGGGTTTAAATTTCGGGCTCACGGTACAGGGTTTAGGGTTTTGGGGTTTGGTGTTTGGGGTTTGGGGCTTCGGGTTTAGAATTGAGAGCTTGGGGCTTCGTGCGGCCCCTCACTTTCAACGGAACTGCTGCTTTCTGCGGCAGGGGGTAAAGTTGCTAAACCATAAACCCTAAACCCTAAACCCTAAACCCTAAACCCTAAACCCTAAACCCTAAACCCTAAACCCGATGGCTTTGTGGCTTAGACGTTTCAAGCCTCCTCACCCAGCAGGGCTTAGGGGTGCAGGGGATCCTGAGCCGTAAACCCTATACCCTAAACCCTAAACCCGAAACCCAAAACCCTAAACAGGGTTCATAGGAGGTAGGGCTTAAAGTTTCAGGAATGGACCTTGATCTTCTTGAGCTGGCTTTATGAACTAAGTAAAGGCTTTTCTTTGCCCGTGGCGCTATGTAGGGTTTAGGCCTTGATCGCCCCCAGAAAGTCCTAACCTCTAAACCCCGAAAACCCGAAAACCTAAACCCTAAACCCTTAACCCGAAACCCTAAACCCTAAACCCGAAACCCTGAACCCTAATCCCTAAACCCTAAGTTTTGAACCCCCCAAGACCTTGACATGCTAAAGCACAAAGCTCTGGCCCAAACTCTAAACTTCAAACCCAAAAGACCCTCAACTCTAAACCCTAAACCCTAAAAATCCTCCCCCAGCCCCTGAACTCGAAACTTCAAACCCTAAACCCTGGGTTTAGGAAGTAGGCTAGGGTTTAGGGTTAAGGGTTAAGGGTTTAGGGTTTAGGGTTTAGGGTTTAGGGTTTAGGGTTTAGGGTTTAGGGTTTAGGGTTTAGGGTTTAGGGTTTAGGTTTAGGGGTTAGGGTTTAGGGTTTAGGGTTTTGGGTTTAGGGTTTAGGGTTTAGGGTTTAGGGTTTAGGGTTTAGGGTTTAGGGTTTAGGGTTTAGGGGTTAGGGTTTAGGGTTTAGGGTTTAGGGTTTAGGGTTTAGGGTTTAGGGTTTAGGGTTTAGGGTTTAGGGTTTCTACACAAAGATCCATTGACCCCCACATCCCCGAGCCCTAAACCCTGAACATCCCCTCATGGTTGAACCCCGAACGCGAAACATTCCCTGAAAGCCTCAAGCCCTAAACTCTAAGAATTTCCTGGAACCCTAAATTACCCTCAGAACCCGCCGAAGATTCCCTCAAACCCTAAACCCTAACTATGCCCTTGCTTTAACCCTACACCCCAAAAACAACCCCCTAAACCCTAAACCCTAACCCTAAACCCTAAACCCTAAACCCTAAACCCTCTGTTTTGGCCCGGGCAGCGCCACGGCGTTGAGGAAGCCGCCAACGCGCAGCTCGCCCAAGGGGCTCGGCTCCTCCTCACAGGGTTTTTTTGGGGTAGGGTTTAAGGTTTAGGGTTTAGGGTTTAGGGTTTAGGGTTTAGGGTTTAGGGTTTAGGGTTAGGGTTTAGGGTTTAGGGTTTAGGGTTTAGGCTTTAGGCTTTAGGCTTTAGGGTTTAGGGTTTAGGGTTTAGGGTTTAGGGTTTAGGGTTTAGGGTTTAGGGTTTAGGGTTTAGGGTTTAGGGTTTAGGGTTAGTCACACGGTGTTTTGGGTTTGAAGCTGATACAGGGTTTCGGGTTTAAGGTTTCAGGTTTAGGGTTTGGGTAGGGTATGGGAGGGATTAGGGCGTGGGGGGGTCAGAGGGCGAGATGGAGCAGTCAGACTTGTGCAGTCGTGGTTTAGGTGGAGCAGAGGGCATGGGGTCTAGGGTAGTCTGGCTGGTTCTTAGCAGGGAATGAAGGAATGAGGCAATTTATATAATCCATATAATCCCTTAAAGGGTAAATCTAGGGCCCTAATTCCTTCATTCCCTACTAAGAACCGGGGGGTGAGTCTAGGGCATAGGCCCTGCGATCCCTTGCAAATGTGACGAGGAGGCCCCTGACCACAAGAGGAGCCAAA